CTTTGCACATTAGCCTTTTATATATATAGTCATCAGGTTGTACATTACATCCTGTGACCAACTTATAACTGGAAATTGGTACCTTTTGACTACCTTTGCCCATTTTGTCCATAAGGCAATCAATCACCAGTCTTTTCTCTCCATACCATGAGCTTGGGGTTTTATGTTTTCGTTTTAGATTCCATATATAGGTGAGATCTTACAGTAGTTCTCTTTTGGTGGACTTATTTCACTTAATGCCTTCATGGTTCATCCATGTTGTTGCAAATGCAAGATTTTTCTTTTCTTTTCTTTTCTTTTAATACTTTTTTTTACAGAGAGGAAGAGAGAGGGATAGAGAGTTAGAAACATCGATGAGAGAGAATCATCGACCAGCTGCCTCTTGCACACCCCCTACCGGGGATGTGCCTGCAACTAAGGTACATGCCCTTGATCAGAACCGAACCCGGGACCTTTCAGTCCATAGGCCGACACTATCCATTGAGCCAAACCGGTTTCAGCTTATTTTTTGCTGTTGAGTTGTATGCATTCTTTACAGATTTTGGCTATTAAGCCTCTTTCGCTTAGTTCTTTCCATTTAAAAGTGGGACCTTCTAGTCTTCAGTTATTGTTGAATTGTCTATGTCCCTCCTTTCTCTTCTCTACCCTTTATATGTTTTGAGGCTCTGTTATGTTGTGCCTATATACTTAAGATTGTTAGTGTCTCTTGATAAATGGGCCCTTTGATTGTAGACTATTCCTCTTTTATCTTGAGCAGTCCTTTTGTCTACAATTTTATTTTCATAAATGTGCGGCCACTCTAGCTTTCTTATGGTTGCTATTTTGCATGATGCTTATTTTGCAACCAATTTGTGTCCTTGGATCTAAAATCTGTCTCCTGTTGACATTGTGTGATTGAATGTTCCTTCTTCAATTCCAGCTTCTCTCTCCATTGTGATTGGACCCACTCACGTTTCATGTCATTGTTGACATAACAGTATTTCCCCCCTTATCCACAGGCGACACCCCCAGGTGCCTGCAACCACCAATTACATACCAAGCCCTATATGTGCTGTGTATCCCATTGGAGCCGTTTGATTGGCGTTTCCCGGAGGCTAGTGATGGTGTGCATCTTTTTGTGTGCTTCCGGCCCATTTCTGTATCTTTAGAGAAATGCCTCTTCGGGTTCTTGGCCTATTTCTAAATTGGATTGTCTTTTTATTGGAGTTGTAAGCATTTTCTTACGTTTCAGATGCAAGTCCCTTATTAGATTCATGGTTTAGAATTTGTTTCTCCCATCCTGTGGATGGTTTTTTCATGGCCTTGACTTGGACTCGTGTCCAGTTTATAACAATATAAGAATGGTGAGTCCTGTGCTAATGATAACATTATTGGTATTGGAAAACGTGCTGGTGGAGTTGGAGAATCAGGCCTTGACGCAAGCAAAAGCTAGGTTTTAACATCGCTCTGGACTCCGCTGTGGAAAACCGTTTGCTGCTTTTCAAAGTCCACTATGTGAAAGCTCACCTTCTGTTGCACATTCTTGTATTTGCCACATCTCTCAGGAATACGGCTGTTGCGTTTTAGAAGTAAAGTCTGTGGTGCGTAGCCATTAGAGATGACTTAGAATTAACATGGGGATATCATAAAAAGTGAGAGTCCAGTTTTAGAAAAAGTGTTTCTTCCTGGTTTTCCAGCATCACAGGTGCATGGCCTGGGCGTTAATAGTGGCTTTGTCTGTTTTGGACATTTCATATAAGTGGCATCACCTACTACGGCCCCTCTTGTGACTGGCTCTTCCCCTCTGACTGCCTGGCTATCGCCCCAGTTTCTTTTCTCCTGAAATGGGGCGCTTGCAATAGAGCCCCCCACAAGGCAAACACTGCCGTTAGCTGCTCTAATGACCCTCAGTAAGAACTGAGTGGAGAAGGATCGGCATTGGGGTTGGAAAAGTGATGGCTGACTGTGGGTGCCCTTGAATGCAGTTCTGGCGGAACAGGTGGCACAGGTGGCGGAGCTGTCTCGGAGGTTGCCCTGGCTGCTGTTCACATTGGGCCTGGAGGGTGGGCGTGGGAGTGGGACCCATAACACTGATGCGGACTGGAAGGGTCTGCCTTTGTTGTTTTCCCGACCCGTGCCAGTGAGTCCCTGGCGTTCTGTTCAGCCCTGTTCTGGTCTGGTGGAACGTGGCGCTTTGGGGAGGGGGGGGGAGAGCATCACGCAGATGCGATGAAACAAGAGAGCCCCGGGTAGGAGTGGACACAGTGAAGTCCTCTCAACTACTCTCAGGAGGTTCTGGGACCTGAAGGAAACAAAGTGTAACTGAACCCACCTTACCATCCACTGGACTTGGCTGCTGCGGTGGGAGAGTTGGGGCTGAGCTGGTGCCAGGTAAACGGGTTTGACCAAGCTTCAGGGTTCTGGGGAGAGATTCTAGCTTCTAAGGCCCATTTGAGCAGAGAGAATAGTAACTGGGCAGGGAAGGAGCCTTCTTTGTCCTGGGGGTCTCTGGTGTTAAGGACTCCCCATTGAAAGCTGCTAGAGAATGCCAGTTTTCAGCAAAGTGTGACATAGCCAGTAAGTGGCTTCCTTATTTCAAATACATAATGCCAGCCTGGCGGCTCAGTCAGTTGGAACATGGTACCCTACCCCTGAAGGTTGTGAATTGAGTGCTGGTCAGGAGGCAGCTGGTGGGTGTTTTGCTCCTCCCTCCTCCTCCCTCTCCCTCCTTAAGAGAACAAACATGGTGGCAATCTTGATCCAGGTGAGGGTGTTTTTCCCATGGTGGGGGAGGGGGGATGCGGAGGTGCTAAATTTGAATATGAAAAGATGCCATGTGGGTTAAATGGCATTGATTAAGAAATGTAACAGTAGTATTCTTGCATAACTTAGTCGCACCATATCTTTGGTAAGAAATGTGTCCAGAAATTACTTTAATGGGTTCAGTGGGTTTTTTTGGTTTTTTTTAATCTCAGATGATTTTACAGATTTGACAAATTTCTTACTCTAAGTCTCCCAAGCTAGCATCCGGAGGGAAAAGGGGTGGTGGCAGCCAGTGGGTCAGAGCGCTGGTGATCCGGGGTCAGACCTTATTCCCCTCCCCAGATGTCCATGCCCACAAAGCTTTGTGTGGGGTTTTATGCGAGTGAGCCTTCAAACCGTCCAGCCTTCAGTTAAGGCAACTGGCAGCTCACAGCTTAGACACAGCAGTAGATGAGGGAATGGCAGGAGTGAAGGGGGAGATAGACAGGTTTTTTAAGGTTTTTGGAGAAGGGGGAGGGCAGAGCTTTTTTTTGTTTGTTTTTGTTTTTTCAGAAAGGAAGGGCTCCAGCATAGGTCTAGGCTACGGACAAAACATGCAGGAGAAGCTGAGGGGGTGCTCGGGGTATGCCCACTGGAGGTGGAGGGGTGGGGAGCATACAGGGCCATTTTGAGTCCAGGTGGGGGAACAAGTGGAAGAGGTTGGAGCAGATTGGAGTAGAGAAGGATGGAGGTAAGCTGGTTAGCTGATGTTTGGAGTGGCAAGGAAAATGTTCAGCTAAATTGCCAGTGGACCAAAATAGCTAAAGATAGGTGAGTTTCTTCAGGCTTTTAAGATCGTCTATTCACATAACTTCTGGTAATGTAGGGTGCGTAAAAATGGAAAACAAAAGTGAGAGCTTGCTCAATCATGTAATCTTTTGTTTTTCCACTTCACATATGACAGATTTTTCTGTCTGCCTTTAACCCATCAGTACTTAAGCTTTTTTCCTGTTGACAAGTGAAACAAAATCTCGTTAGAACCCCATCTCTGGATTGAGTGATTGTGATTGTGAGGTGTAAATGTTAGGCTGTGCTGGGGTAGGGGACCGCTTTACTCACAGCAGGATATACCTATAGCCAATCGGCTACAGTTCTCAGTCAATTGGCACATTAAAATCCATTTCTGGGTAGGTTTTTTGTTAGCTAACCCTCACCTGAGGATATTTTTCCCATGGATTTTTAGAGAGAGTGGGAGAGAGGAAGAGAAGAGAGCAATAGAAACATCTATGCTATATGATAATCCATTCAATCTGGAGAGGGGCTTGGGTGTCAGCGCTCACTAAAGCCCCTCAGAGGATGTCCCTGTGCAGCTAAGGATGAGGCCCTGGGTCTAGAATTGGGGGCTGGGGGCCCAGAGTGGGGTGTCGTGGTCATTGGCAGTTGGTCACTTGACAGACTCATCTGCATTGGAGTAATAGCATAGAGGTTGAACCTTGGAAGAAAAGGTCCCCAAAACTTTACAGTTTGTTCAAACCACTGGTAAGCTTGTTTGAAACGATTTGGTACCAGTGATGAGTGCTGGGTGTGCAGTGCTTCCTGAGAAGTCTTTCCAGTCAAGTTTTGTTCCCTTCCTTTGTCTTGAGCAGACACATTTGGCAGTGCGATTAAGGCAGTGGTCGGCAAACTCACTAGTCAGCAGAGCCAGGGTATCAACAGCACATCGATTGAAATTTCTTTTGAGAACCAAATATTTTAAACCTAAACTTCTTCGAACGCCACTTTTTCAAAATAGACTCCCCCAGGCCGTGGTATTTTGTGGAAGAGCCACCCTCAAGGGGCCAAAGAGCCGCATGTGGCTCGCGAGCCGCAGTTTGCCAACCACTAGTTGAAGGCATTAGTAAATTGAAGACGGTTGCGTTTCCTTGATGTAACCGCTGATGTGCTGCCGCAGTTTATTGAGTTAGATATAGTGTTAATGAGACTTGAGCGTCTCACTTTGCACTGTCATCTCTGAAACTACCTTCTCCTGGCCGATTTCACTGGTGACTTAAGTGGAAGCGATTCCTTAATGCATGTTTGTTGTGTCTAAAACAGGTTCCTTTTTCTTCCTTCTACTTGTAGGTTATGCAATGGTCTGTGCAGGATGGCTTGTTCTTGAATTGGATCTTCCGAAGACTGACAGATGCTGGTACTTCATCTTCTATAAGTGGACTCTGATTTCTTTTCTCAAGACAACTACATAAGCAGACAAAATTGCAAAGATCTGCCCTGTGTCGAGTATGACAGCCACGACTCGTGGCTCTCCAGTAGGAGGGAATGACAACCAGGGCCAGGCTCCCGATGGCCAGGCTCAGCCCCCCCTCCAGCAGAATCAGGTAGGACTCTGAGGGGGCTCTGCAGAGTCGTCTGTGGGATACTTAACGAATGGACTGTGTTCTGTGGAATTGGTGAAGCAACCATAAACCCTTTTTAGAGAAGTCCATGTTAGCTGTCGCACGCAGGAACCAGAAAGCTCGCGTGTTGGAGATGGTGACACTGGAGTCTGTAGTCCTTCCTTTTCTGGTGTCTTACCCTGTGGGTCAGTCAGATGAAGTATGTAAAGCCCTGGGTCAATGCTGGAGGAAAGCAGCAGGCCAGGCAGCGTAGCCCATGGTTAAGAGCATGGGCTCGGCTCCTGCAGCTGGTGTTCTGCTGTTAGCTGTGCACCATCCCAGCTTTATGGCCCTGGGTTACTGGTGTCAGAGAGTAGGCATTCTCTAGAACAAGTATAATCGAGCAGAGCTGCGCAAAACCTGGCCGGTGTGGCTCACTGGATAGAACGTCGGCCTGTAGACTTGAAGAGTCCTAGGTTCGATTCCTATCAAGGGCACGGACCTCGGTGGCAGGCTCCTCCCCAGTGTGGGGTGTGCAAGAGGCAGCTGATACTGATTCTTATCATTGATGTTTCTAGATATCTGAAATCAATAAAAGTACATTTTTAAAAAAGAAGGGAAGGCCCTAGCCAGTTTGGCTCAGTGAATAGAGCATCGGCCTGTGGACTGAAGGGTCCCTAGGTTCAATTCCAATCAAGGGCACGTGTCCGGGTTGCGGGCTCAATCCCCAGTGTACAGGAGGCAGCCAATCCATGATTCTCTCTCATTGGTTTCTTTCTCTGAAATCAATAAAAATATTTTTTGAAAAGAATGAAGGAAAAGAGCTGCACATGCATTTCCCCCTCTCCCTTTCTTCCTCTCCCCCTGCCATTTTAGAGAAGTGAGCAGGTCATGTTTTAATATTTTCCCAAATAAATGTGTCAGCTTTATTTCTCTTTCCAGTCCCCTCTTCTAAGACATAAAAGTACTGAAGTACATGGTCACAGGCGTTGACAGAGTTAAGTCTCCTGTGTCATGAATTTGTTAGCCAGTATTCAGGTTTCTTTAAACATAGTCTAAGGTTGGGTGCCAAAGAGTTCTATTTTTAAACCGGGAGCTAGTAGTAAGTTCGAGTATCTTTTGCTACCTTTTGTCCCAAGTTTTATACCTGTGTTGTGCATGGATTCCTAATGTCTTTTGCAGTGTTTATGGCTTGTGTGGCTTTAAACAAAATTAAACCTCTATTCTAACCTTGTTTTTATTTAAGGTTTCCTTTTTTTTTTTTTTTTTTTTTTTTTTTTTTTTAATTGATTTCAGAGAGGGAAAGAGAGACATCAGTGATGAGAGAGAATCATGGATTGGCTGCCTCCTGCACGCCCTCTACTGGGGATTGAGCCCGCAACCTAGGTATGTGCCCTTGACCGGAATTGAACCCTGGACTCTTTAGTCTGCAGGCCCTGTCCACTGAGCCAAACCAGCTAGGGCTAAGGTGTCCTTAATAATTCTTAGAGCTCTTGGGTTTCAATTTATTGTCATGTGGTATTCCATTTAATATTATAATTCCACATTATGTTCTTTTCTAATGTTTGCAATTTGGAAAATGATGGTTTAAACAACAAAGGAACAAAATAAATTACATTCTTAACTATCTGTCAAGTCCCTTTCATTTTTCTTCTCTACTTCCAATGTTAGAATTTTAGTTTCAGTATTTCACAAGATTTGACACTGTCGGACCAAGAAGAAGGAACTATAGCATTAATCACTCCCCAGCTTTGAGTTTTCTTTTGGGATGTGCTTTTTACGTTTTGGCATTAAAAGAATTGCTAAAATCCATCAGGTGTTTTTCACTTCACGTTTTTTTAAAGGGTGTTCCCTCCGGGGGAATTCTGGGCTCCGGTGTGGAGTAGCGCTTGGTGGCACATGAAATAGCCTTGGCAAAGGCACTGGCTCAACAAGCTTGGGTGCTGCTGCTGGGCCGGTGCGCTTTTCCGGGATGGAATTGGGCAATGGCACACGAAGCAGCACTGAGAAATCGTCTCTGCTATTGCAGTAATTCTCCGCCCAGGATCCTAGCCTGAGCAGATTGGTGTATAAGAAGATTCATTGCAGCTCTGTTTATCTGAGCAATAAAAATTGCAAAATATTAAATAACCTTTTACTTGTTTAATTCATTTAATGCTATTTGGCATTAAACTTTTTATAAAAGATTCTTAATGATGTGTAGGAAAAGAAAGACAAATGTCAAATGGAAAGACACAGGCTTAAACAGGTATCCTAATGTTACTGAAATTTATACATTTGTAAGCGGGGTTTTTTTGCTCATAGAACAAAAGATTGGAAGGAAATCATTTTAAATGTTGGTGCTTATCTGTTCTATTACAGGTATTTTAATTGTTATTTTTGTCTATGATTTCTAAGAGCATGTATATAGGGATGGGCAAAGGTAGGTTTACAGTTGTGAGTATGTGAAAGTTTATTTATAATATATATACTAGGCGAGAGGAAAGGGGCTTTAAAAAAAAATACTAAACCAGCTTTCCTGAGACTTTAAGGTCCTAAAAGTTTATTAGGTTGTGAAAGTATACACAGCTGAAGTAGGGTGAAGAGAAAGATGAACTAAAAAGGAAGAATGAACGAATAAAATTAGCTACGTCAGGTGAAAATGATGTGATTTATTTAGAAACCATAATCATGAAGTTTTAATAGTTTCTGGATAATGATCTGACACTAGGGAAAGTATGGAATAAAATATATTTTTTCTCTCCAAATTAAAAAATAAGTTATGTCAAAACTTAAATCTGTAAAATGCGACTTTTTTATTTATGTAATAAAGTATGTTGTGGTGGGAAGTGTAAACGGAACAGCAGTATACATTGTGATTAAGAATACAAATTGCAGAATTAGATCTGGGTTCGAATCCTGACCAGAGTTGGTGCTTTGTAACCTGGGGCTAATTAATGATTGTCTGAGGGTGTTTTTCCATCTATGAAATGGCAGGCTGCTTCCTTTGGGTGTTGAGAATTAAGTGAAATAATAATAATAATTATTATTATTATTATTATTATTATTATTGATTTTCCACAGAGAGGGATAAAGAGTGAAATTATTTTGAAGCATAGTGGCACGGAGACTGCCTTAAACCTAAGCTTACAATACTTATGTCATTTGCCCCTAGCTGATGTTGGTGTTTGAAGCATTAGACGTGGCATACATTGCACTAAGCTCAATCTGGAATTGTTAATTTTCCAGACGTCATCGCCTGATTCTTCCAACGAAAACTCCCCGGCGACTCCCCCAGATGAGCAAGGTCAGGGCGATGCTCCCCCCCAGCTGGAAGAGGAGGAGCCTGCGTTTCCGCACACCGACCTGGCCAAGCTGGATGACATGATCAATAGGTGAGCTGGGTTGGCTTTGAGTGGGTGTGACACAGGCAGAGCACCCAGGCCCCAGCATAGGGCTGGGTAGCGGAGAAGAAGAGAAAGAGTGGACAGGATGCCACAGTAACCACACGGCCTCCTTAATAGCCTGACATTGGCAAGTAAGTCATTGTCAAGTACTTAGAACCTGTGGTTCTTAATGGATTTTAAAAATGAAAGGGCGCTGTGCCAATCGTTTTCAGATTGATCGCAACCAGAGCCAGTAGGCTTCTGTGGTAGAGCTGTACGCGTGATGGCCCTTTGTGAGATTTTATGAAGATTTCTTTCCTTACTGGTACGTTGGTTGCTAGGTGACTTGAATGATTTTTTGCATGGCCCTGAGGTAAACCAGGCCATAAAGAGATCTAGCTGGTCTGGCGCCAGAGAATCCAGCACAAGAATGCTGCCTGCCTCCTGGTTTGGGGGAGGAGCGGGTGGGGTACTGGAAGCCTGTAGTAAATTTGGAGACTTCCCTCTCAGCCTTCAGGAAAAGGTGACAAAGTGATGAATCAAAGCAGAAATCAATCATTGCCTCCCATTTTTTTTCTTCTTTGCAAGAAAATTGAAAACAACTAAGTAGTGATTCATTATAATGTCTCCTAATCTGAATCCTGAAAGAGCGCTTTCCCACAAGCTCGAACAATAGCTTATCCATTTAGTTGACATTTGATTATTGCAGTAGGTTTATATTCTATTAGTAAAATAATTTTATTTCTCCTCGTGCTCATAGCTATATCTTTTGTTTGACAGTTCCTTAAAAGTGTTAGAAAACAAGTCTCACCGTGCAGATATTCCGCCGACCTTGTTTTAATATTTTAATGTTACCTGAATATTAGTATTTCCATGCTTACATATTATAAGTAGTAGCTCATTTATAGTGCCTCTTTTAGTGCGCTAATAAACATCTTTTTATGTTTTTAAAACTCTTAGGCCTCGGTGGGTGGTTCCAGTCTTGCCGAAAGGGGAACTAGAAGTGCTTTTAGAAGCTGCTATTGATCTCAGTAAAAAAGGTGAGTTTCCACAGCATGTGCTGCTGCACGGCCTCTCACTTCGCCGCTGCACACTTGAGTTTTCCTCTTTCACATCTAAAGGGGCTTCTTGCCATGGCCTCTGGTATATGCCCAGAGCAAGGGTTCGTGTCCTTCAGGGTGTTTGTAAATTCTGAAGTTAGACATAAAATCTGTGTATGTGCATATTTAAAGCAAGCTGCCTAGCTTAATTTTTTTTTATTTAATACATAGAAAAAGTTTGATTTTTCTCTAAAAAATTGAAAGATGAGGTCAGTTTTTTTATTTTTTCAATAAGTCAAGAAAAAGGAATAAAAAGTGGTCTTTTTATTCCATTACCTAGAAGTAAATACATGTCACCCGGGCATGTGCCCTGACCGAGAATCGAACTGTGATCTCCTGGTTCAGAGGGGTCAACAACTGAGCAACACTGTCCAATCAGGCACTTATATTTCCTGAAATAGAGCTTTGGGATTGAAATAGGGTAACCATGAATATGTTCTAGTTGTCGAAAGATATAAATAATGTAATAAGCTATGAAAACTCATGATCAGATTACAATTATTTTCCACTGCTCAAGTATTTGATGTTCATTTACACAGTTATCAATTCAGATTTATAGAGACTTCTGTCCCACGTATCTCCCCCACTTCTGTATTTCTTCTCTGGAACTATCTTAGGGGAGGTTCATATTTGTTTTTAAGTACAGTACTGGTTTTAATTGTCATTTCTTTTATATAATCCCAAAGCTCTAGTCGGGCTTTGTTAGCTGTCAGTGACTAGTTTATAATTGCTGATTACCTTTTATCATATAATTGGACATCATAAGACAAGCAGAGCAATATCTTGTTTACATTAGTTTTCCCCACCTTTTTCTTAGGCCTTGATGTTAAAAGTGAAGCATGTCAGCGATTCTTTCGAGATGGACTCACAATATCCTTCACTAAAATCCTTACAGACGAGGCAGTGAGTGGCTGGAAGTTTGAGATTCACGTGAGTCTTGCATTTGACTTTTAAAAATTCAGATTTACATAGTGATACTTGTATTTCTCATTCACACACACACACACACACACACACACACACATATTTGGTTATATATATTTGATCCTTTGGTTGAATTAAAAAGGTTTGAAAATGCAAACCTTTGAGAATCCTTTTTATAAGTTATAATGTCTACTGAAGGAAGCGTCATCATTGAGAACGAGCATGAGACTGAGATTTAGGAAACTTTGGTTTAATCAGTGACCTTAGGGGAGTCACCGCATTTCAACGATGCTCGCAATTGCGAGATGCTCTGCTGGTTCTTTATGTGCCGCTCAGGGAGAAACATGTCCAGGTGGGGCTCTAGCAGCTGGGACACAAAGGGTTAATGCAGACATAGACTTGCCACACATATAGCAAAGAAACCTACATGCCTCCACCTTGTGGTAGAGGTGAAAACGGAAAATTTGAACCACAGGCCGGCATTCAAACATATTTGTAGTCTTGATTTCAAATTGTGGTTGTGGTACAAAAGAATCCTCTGATGGAGAATTGAAGGCATTCTCTATAGACACCCTCTGTCCAGCAGAGTGTGCCATAACTACAGATGTTTGCTTTGAGGCTTAGCCAATCTACCCCACCTTGGATAATTGCTGTATTATTTTGATTTTAGAATTGCTGCCTCTAGTATATAAATTCCAAAGAGAAAACAGTGGTGATTTGCATCTACTTTATAATTTATATAGTACCTACAATATTAGTGAACTGTGCAAAGAGCATCACAACATACTTAATGAAGATCAGAAAGTATTTGGAATTGCAGTGTTTTGATCTTCTAAATCACCTTTCCCCCTTATATAACAGAGGTGTATTATCAATAACACTCATCGCCTGGTGGAACTATGTGTGGCCAAGCTGTCCCAAGACTGGTTTCCACTTCTAGAACTTCTCTCCATGGCCTTAAATCCTCATTGCAAATTCCACATCTACAATGGTACCCGCCCGTGTGAATCCGTCTCCTCAAGTGTTCAGTTGCCTGACGACGAACTCTTTGCCCGTTCTCCAGACCCTCGCTCACCAAAAGTGCGTTGGTTTGTCTTTTTCTCAATTCAGTGTTAAGTTGCTTTGCTGTGCATAGACCTTGAAGTGATCGGACCTCTCAGCAGCATGGGAGGAATGATTTAATATGCTCTTTAAGAGGTCTGCGTTGTTTTGTGTTTGGGGGTTTCTTTTCCCACTTTATTGAGGTGTAATTGACAAAGTAGTTTTGGACTGGATTTTTGTAAGCTTTCCCTGTGTAGTTAGTCCCCATTGTTCTGCCCAGCCTCTTGGGAAATTGTGCTGATTTGGGTTAAAAGTCAAGTTATAGAAATGATAAATGAAAGGAAAAAGAGTAAAACATCAGTATTGGTGAAATAGTATACATAAATGCAATTATGTAAAAGTTCTCCAATGTAAAATTTTTATATCAGCATAAACAACGGTGTATACTTTAAGATATATCCCTAACTATATCATTCTTATGTGAATATTATATAATTAACAATATAGTTTTAATTTTTAGACGTTGAGGAGACATTTTTAATATTGTAGGCCTTATAAATGGAAAAAGCCAGCCAGGAAAACGTGAATTTATGTATGTAAGGGTGGGTTTGTTCTGTTAAAAGTGAAAATGATCACAATGTGCTAACTTTGGAGCTGAGGTTTTCTGATATTTCCCAAGGCTCATATTATCACTACTTCTGGCTTATTTGTGCTTGAGCAAACCAAATTAATTTTGAAATGGTAGCAATCTCCAAAATATACCTGGATTCCTTTCTTTATTTTAGTTTATTTTTTCCTGTGTAGGTCAATAATGATCTGTAAGAAACAAGGAACAACTTAATTTAAGGTGGATTCTAGTGGAAGATATTTTATCTTTCAAGCCTAGCTCTTGAATGTTAATAATTACTGAGTATTCCTAATTGCTTGAACATGCAACATACATTGCAGCTGGAAACATAAGGGGAGATTATAACAGCCTAATGGTTGCATTCCAATAACTGGAGAGGTAAAAATACATCCTATCAATGTGTGCTTTCTTAGGGTTGCTGGATGCCAAGAGGGACCTGGTGAATTGTTTTGAATTAGCTTATAATACCAAATAAAAAGGTAGGAAGTAATGAATTTATAGAAATATGATAGTTGATTTATTAGAGAATTTAGTTAATTTAGATTCTCATAAGACACATCAGAACTACCCTGAACTCCAGCATATTGTCTCTTTAAATCAGTTACCTTTTATTTAGCATTTTATTCATTTTTGCTAGACATGTCTTTTGGTTTTTCGATAGTGATAGTAATTATTTTCCTTAAGGCTTAGTGGAGAAACTGGCTCTTGTTCGCCTCAATGGCTTCTAAAATGGCCTTTTAGAAGAAGGCATATTATAACAGGTTATGTGTACATACATGTTTAGATACATTTGATTCTTATCTCTCTCTAACATTTTAATTCATCTTAAGTTTTTACATGTAAGCACGCTTTTAGCTACATCCCCGTTGGCATTTTACTTTGAGTCACTGCTATTTTTTGGGAAGTGGTTGAAAGACAACCTATACTATAGCATCATGCTGCCATGAGTCAGCAAAAGCACCAGCCTGCATGTAATAGGCAGGAGAATCAGATGTAATGTCAGCGGTTGGTTACCTGTAACAAAAAGTGAATTCAAACATCTTAGTTACTGAATATATTCTCTGTGTGTGTTTAAAGAATATCTTATCCTCAGATTTCTTAAAATATTTTTTCAGATGATAAAATGGTATCTGTTACTGTGAGCATGTGCAGTATTTTGTTCTGTTGGTTTTTTTAAGATGGTTTTACCTAATAATTTTATTGAATTTCTTGTTTCTAGTATGTTTCAGTCAAGAAATGACTTCAGCTAGTACCTTTAAACGCAGGAAGTTAACTCTCTTCATTAACTGTATTGCAGGGTTGGCTAGTGGATCTCCTCAACAAATTCGGCACTTTAAATGGGTTCCAGATTTTGCATGATCGTTTTATTAGTGGATCAGCATTAAATGTTCAAATAATTGCAGCTCTTATTAAGTAAGTTATGTTTTAAAATAAATCTTCAGTGCATTCTAGAAATTGCTAGATGACAAATTGAGTTTCTCTTTTCAAGTATGGCTTCTTCTTTAACTGATAACTTGGATTTTTTAAATTAATATAAATAGTTGAGTTCAGTCCTAGTGGATTGTAAGTAGTCATGTATTATAAGAGTAATCCTTATTGCCTTTCTTATTTCAGACCGTTTGGACAAAGCTACGAATTTCTCACTCTCCACACGGTGAAAAAGTACTTCCTTCCCATCATAGAAATGGTTCCACAGTTTTTAGAAAACTTAACTGATGAAGAGCTGAAAAAAGAAGCAAAGAATGAAGCCAAAAATGATGCCCTTTCAATGATTATTAAATCTTTGAAGAATTTAGCGTCAAGGGTTCCAGGACAAGAAGAAACTGTAAAAAATTTAGAAATATTTAGGTTAAAAATGATACTTAGGTAAGATATTTACCTCTTGAAACAATTACTTATTGGACACTTAGAATCATACTCAACACACTTTCTTTTACAGATTATTGCAAATTTCTTCTTTCAATGGCAAGATGAATGCACTGAACGAGGTGAATAAGGTGATTTCCAGCGTGTCGTACTACACTCACCGCCATGGCAGCCCGGAGGAGGAAGAGTGGCTCACCGCTGAGCGGATGGCAGTAAGTCCTCGCTGTTCCTCTCATGGCGCACCCCAGGCAAAAGATAGACTAGCGCTACTCAGTCAGTGCTTGCATTGCAGGGAATACCTTGCGATGGCGAGGTGTTTGGATTGATTTCTGACTCGGGCAATCCTGAGGACTTGCTGCAGTGGCATTGTTTATTGTTTGGTAATGATGTGGGCATCTCAGCACACCTGTGTCAGCTTACCGAGGAAGTAATTATGAGCTTGTTGGGCAGGGTTGGTGGAAAAGGAGGACGTGACGATCATCTTGGAAATGGATTGGTCAGTATTTGGTACTTAAAGATTTTCAAGTAGGAACTGCAATCGCTAGAATAAGATCTACATGATCACTTTAAGCACGTAAGCACTTAACGTTATATCATTGCGACATTGAAAGTTTAGGAAACCTTATTTACCATACATATTTGTATGTAGGGCATATTCTTATTATTGCTAATTAACACTGCAGTTCATCCATTTCTCTCATCCCCTGCCTCTCGCAACCACCCATCTATCTGTTCTCTGCGCTTGCTTTGGTGTGTGTCTGGCTGGCTCACTGCACTTCACCTAGGCCCTGGTTGTCACCTATGGCGAGGTTCCTTCTTCCTGTGGCTGAAGAAATGGCTGAAGTGTGTGTGCACCCATTTCTCTAGCCACGCCCCTCTCCGTGGGCCCTCAGGCCATCCCTCACCTTGGCGGTTGTAAGGAATGTTGCAGTGAGCATGCAGAGCTCTCTGAGAGAAGGGCTCATTTCTTTGGGATGTGTGCCCTCTAGTGGGATTCCTGGACCATACGCTAGTTCTGTTTGTGTTTTTTAAAATATATTTTATTGACTTTTTTTTACAGAGAGGAAGGGGGAGAGATAATTGGAAGCATCAAGGAGAGAGAAATATCCATCAACTGCCTCCTGCACACCTCCTACTGGGGATGTGCCCGCACCAAGAGCAAGGTACATGCTCTTGACCAGAATCGAACCTGGAACTCTTCAGTCTGCAGGCCGATGCTCTATCCACTGAGCCACACCAGTCAGGGCCACTAGTTCTGTTTTTAATAAGCTTCCATCCTTTTCCACACTAGTTGCACAGACTTACATGCCCAACAGCAGTGCGCACGGGTTCTCTTTTTGTTTCTGTCTTCCCAACACTCCCTTGTCTCCCATGATGCACTTGAATAGGTGTGAGGTAGGTTGTTGTGGGTTTGAGTTGCCTTTTCCCTGAAGACTGGCGTTGAGCATCTTTTCATGAACTTGTTGGCCATCTGGATGTCCTCTTGGGGAAAATGTCTGTTCAGGTTTTCTGCCCATTGTAAATTGGATTGCTTTTTTGCTGTTGGGTTGTATGAGTTCTATGGATCTTTGGGTATTAGCTCCTTAATAGATAACATGATTTGCAGTTATTTCCTCCCGTCCAATAGGTTGCTTTTAGTTTTGTTGATGGTTTCCTTTTCTGTGTAGAAGCTTTTGTTTGAGGGCGGCTCGCTTGTCTGTTTTCGCTTTGGGGGCCTGGTCATCGGCCCTGGGCTAGGGACTTAGGTGGGAGTCTGTCTACTCGTGTTTTTATGTTTTTAAAAGCTACTGCGTTTAGTTCCTGCTTTAAGATGATTTCCGGATTGTGTTTAGGAATGGATACAGCAGAACAACATCTTATCCATCGTCCTGCGAGACAGCCTGCACCAGCCACAGTACGTGGAGAAGCTGGAGAAGATTCTTCGTTTCGTCATCAAAGAAAAGGCTCTGACCTTGCAAGACCTTGATAATATCTGGGCAGCACAGGTATGGAATGTGGAATAGTGGCTATTTGAATTTCTTAAAAAAGAAAGAAGCGAATACTAAGGAAATATAGTAGTTAGGAAATGGGGTGAAAGCTTATGTCATTTTACTTTTAATATATTAAAATACTTGTTTACAGCAATCCTGTCAAAAATCTTTTTGAAATAGCCAAAAATATTTTTTAATAAAACTACATACATTTGGTCATTGTGGGTGGTTTGAAATAAGAAGCAAACTGTGAAATAATAAGGAATGTCTATTAAAAGAGTGAAGGAAACCTACAATCGGTTTCTTCATAAACAATACAAAGAAAAAGGTCACTGTGGGGAGTGAAATCACTAGATTGTTTATAAAAACCTGTAATCAAAAGATTTATAGTTTCTCAGAATTGCAGGCGGTTTCAATTCAGGGCTGAAAAATGGTTCCTTTGGTTATCTTAGTGACAGGTTTCTACTCATGGGTCACGTGGGAAGTATTACTGAATTCTAGATGACAGCGCTTTATTTCTTGAGTCTAGAAACCAAGAACACATTCCGCTGTGCCTGTAAGTGCTTAAGGCCACAGTTCCGAAACAATACCGTTGGAGTGCCTTGTTTCTCCTCCGTGCAGTGTTAAAATTGACACGATAAATTCGGTAATGGTTCACATGAATTCCCATGCAGAGCAAAAAGCTGAATCATCAGGTTTTAGGTGGCAGTTTTAAAGCATTTAAAATGTCATCCCAATCACCGGATCCCAGCAGCAAGCTAACCTACTAATCGAACGTCTGCCCCCTGGTGGCCAGTGCACATCATAGTGACTGTTGGGATGAATGTTCTACACCTAGCACGATAGGCTTTTATTATACATACAGGGTGGTGGTCAGCAAAGTCTCGGTTTTCTTTGGGTTTTCACTAGGCAGGGAAGCACGAGGCCATTGTGAAGAATGTACATGATCTACTGGCAAAGTTGGCCTGGGATTTTTCTCCTGAACAACTTGATCATCTCTTCGATTGCTTTAAGGTAAGATTCAACATAAAGGAGCACCCTTTTGGTTTTAATATATTTAATTCATTAGATTGTGAGCTGTTTTTGTGGTGACTGTATAGCTCATCTGGGGACAGTAAGCAGGGAGAAATGCGTTGTTTCATTCATTTAAATTGCTCTCTAGGCAAGTTGGACAAATGCAAGTAAAAAGCAGCGGGAGAAGCTCCTTGAGCTGATCCGCCGCCTGGCAGAGGATGACAAGGACGGGGTGATGGCGCACAAGGTGCTGAACCTCCTGTGGAACCTGGCGCACAGCGATGACGTGCCCGTGGACATCATGGACCTGGCCCTCAGCGCCCACATCAAAATACTCGATTACAGCTGCTCCCAGGTGAGCGGGTGCCGCTCGGCGCCCTCTCCCCCCCTTCTCTCTCCCTTCACAATTAGGGTGGCTTAGCTACAGAATAGTCTCAGGCTATTCCAGTGTTATTTTTGAAGCAATTTTCAAGGATTGACTTTCTTCGTATAAGTTTGCCTCCTCGGTCTCTCTGTCGCAGTTTGGGGTATCATCTGCAAAGCATTTTGGTCTCCTTGGGAGAATGGCAGTACACTCCACACAGGCTGTATGGTGTGGTTTGTTACCTGTGTGGTGCTGAGCCAATTCCAACCAGATCATGAGATAGGAGATATGAAAGCTGGGCAGAGACTTCAGAGCATAAGGGAAGTTAGGTTTTCTTTCCTTGTAGAGAAATTAAGAAAAATTAATAAACTTTCCTAAATAGCAAAGCATTTAGTGCCTTTTCCTGTGAACAAATTACACAGCAGCTTCCCTGCATTCTAACTGGCGGTATGCGGAGCCTTTTAATTCATGCGTGGACATGGCTACATGACCAGTATCTCACTCATTAGACCTGTTTGCTACACGGATGAACCGAAATTTCAGTAAGAGCTAAGAAATAAGCTCAACTAGATCTGTGAGTCAGATGCTACTGTTTTTGACTCTGCTTGTTGGTGACCAATCATTATTTAATATATCAACTAGTAAACAGAGACACAAAATAATTCAAACCTAAAATTAAGTGCGCAGCCGAAACCGGTATGGCTCAGTGGTAGAGCGTCGGTCTGTGGACAGAAAGGTCCCAGGTTCGATTCCGGTCAAGGGCATGTACATTGGTTGCGGGCACATCCCCGGTAGGGGGTGTGCAAGAGGCAGCTGGTCGATGTCTCTCACTCATCGACGTTTCTAGCTCTCTATCTCTCTCCCTTCCTCTCTGTAAAAAAATCAATAAAATATATATTTTTAAAAATAAATAAATAAAATAAAATTAGGTGCGCAGACCTGCATTTCTGATCATTATTGACGGGGAAGAAGTAAAGTAGAGGCATGAGAAGTAAACGTGGTACATGAAGTAATGTTGGTTTTAACTGTGCCTACACACAACTCTGTCCCTTTCTCTCCTTGTTTGCATGTGGACATGTCCTTGTTTTTAGTTGTAGAAATTGCCGTACCATTATTTCCTTGGTAAAAATATAAATCCTCAGTGTCCCTCGGTGTGCTAAAAACAAACGTGTGTGGTGTAAATCAGGGTTCTATGTTACTGCTGAGTTTTATTATATGGTAGAATCTCTTAAAAACATTGATAAAGCTAAATGCCCACTTCCTGGCAAACGTTTCAAATCAGTTTCTGTCTGTGTGCCTAATGCTTAGTCTCTAGACCTTTGTGTAGCTAATTGTAGCTATATCTGAGTCTCTGTCATATTGGACTTTTCTAATAGAGTCTTTTTAGAGTTTTGATAGTAAATGTGAAATAAACATGTACTTAAAGCAACTTTTAAAATTATCATTGAACTCTTTACTGCAGTTACGGCATAATGTTTGTGTTGCTAATCGTACAAGAGAAGCTGTGTTTTGTAATTCTGAAAGCTATATTGACCTGTATAAAACATTGAAATCGTTTAAGGACCGTGACACACAGAAGATCCAGTGGATAGATCGCTTTATAGAAGAACTTCGTACAAATGACAAATGGGTGATCCCCGCACTGAAACAAATTAGAGAAATTTGTAGTTTGTTTGGGGAGGCACCTCAGAATTTGAGGTAAGGCTTTTAACAGAAAATTTCAGTCTTTTCATTTATGTCTTTTGCAAAGAAACAGCAGCATTATCAACTGGTAGGCGCAAACTAAGAAAATTAGACTGGGATGATCGAGAAGAGAAGAGCTTATTTGGAAGAAAAGATTCCTTTATCATAACCACCTGCTTGATTGTATTGATGAGGAAGTAAGCTGCAGTTAAGTGATATGTATCACAAGCAAGACATAATAATATTGCCTTCAGGTTCTGGGCTCAGAATTCCCTCTTACTTCCAGCCAGTGAGCCAGACAGTGTCACGGCATGTGCTGTGTCTATTTCCCCTCACATTTCAGTTTCCTTCCTGCTTGTGTCCCTCTCTACCCAGTGTCTGCCCTGATACATATATGACCTTGCTAAATGGTGGTTCCTGGAATAATTTGTCCTTGCATTGTTTGGTTATAGAGTTGGAACTGATAACATAAAAAAGAAAAATGTGGGAAAGAGAGCTGGGTGTAATCAGGATTCCTGAGTTATGGCCCTTGTATCCAAACAGTCATGTCATTCTGCCAAGATTCCTAAGCTACAGAAAGGGGCTTCTATGTGTGTAAAATTAAAAGATTGCCAAGATCCTTTACAGCACTCGATTATGTTTATGCCTAACACAGAAAAGGCCACGTGCTTGGGTTTTAACATTGAAATTTGCCATCTGCTGTGTGGTTTGTTTTTTTTTAAGGCTAGAAAAATACTATGAAATTACAAAAGCTATAGGAGTAAACAGTGGAGAAAATTTACATTCTTTGCTGTAATTATAGCATAATTTTTGTGGTGCTGATCTTATAAGGAGTTTCTATTTTATAATTCTGCATATAGTTACGCAAACTTAAACAAGTGTTTTGGCGCTAGTATAATAGGAAGTAGAAATTGGTTACTAAAGTAGACTCCCGTTGGTGTGGTAGTGGAGAATATTAATGCATTTTGTGTGTAAGATAATAACGGAATGTTTTATTTTTTGAGGCATTGGTTTTCTTTTAAATTGCTTGCCACTAAAGTAAATGGCCAGAAGTATACTTCTGTTTGAAAGAACCCATTTGAAGTTTTTCAGTTAGTAGCTAAGAATTTAGATTATACAAGCTCTTTTGATTCCACCAGAATTAATTGCCTAATTATATTGTTAAGTTCTTCTCGTTTCAGTCAAACTCAGCGAAGTCCCCATGTATTTTATCGCCATGATTTAATCAATCAACTTCAGCACAATCATGCCCTAGTTACTTTGGTAGCAGAAAACCTTGCAACTTACATGGAGAGCATGAGAATGTATGCCAGAGGTATGTATTACAAGCTAACGGGAATTCTGGGAAATAACAGCCTCTTCCCTTCCCTTCTGGGGCGGGGTCAGCATTAATTACCTCAGAGATGACAGCAGATGTATTTTGTGTTCTTTGAGCTTATGATCCACTTTCACTTTCCTCTCACCTATCACAGTCTTACCTCCCCGCCAGCATTGCAGGGCTCTGTAGTGCTTGCCTGCCCCACTCTCCCCGTTAAAATGTTTTCCCTTCCCTGCCCGGAGGCTGGGGCCGCCTGGCCCACAGCTGTTTCTTGCCGCCTTAGGTATGTACTGACTCATTTTCATCCTTGGTTTCCTTACTGCCTCCACCATTATCTTTTCAAGCAAACTTCTTTGTCTAAGTCCGGGTTCCATAAATGTGTCCATTTAGGAATTAAAAGTCACAAGTGGGGAGGTGCAAGGCCACAGCAACCCACGTTGACGATGGGTTCAAAGTGGGAAGCTGTTGAAACATGTCACTGTCAAGTGTCCTGTTGTTTTAACAGCCAGTTTGTGAGGGCCCGCCATCTGCAGAGCTCCGTTTCAATGCCCTTTTGCCCTCTGACAGTTGTATTTGATTCTGTGTGCTGGAGTTCAGAGGTATTCTTAATACATACTCCTCTGTTTATGCCCAATTCATAGCACGCACACAGACACAGACTATCTTTTAGGCTCAAGTGTGTTCCCATAGCCATGGAAAGGAAACGGTATATAGTCAGTGTTAGGGGTAGAATTGAACATGACGTTCTTGACCTTTTATAGTAGACTTTTAAGCCAATGTATTTGTAACCATTTGTACGCTTAGTCTATAGACGCAAGCGGCGGGCCTTTTTTAATTCAAACTATCACGGCAGTTAACTGGTTAAAATGAGGGTATTTCTAATGCTTGTTATTTGAAGAGTATAGTGGGTAGACTCTTGACATTATATAAAGTCCCAATATGCCTATGAAACATGAGATCTTTGCGTAACATTTACATACATTCCTATGTAAAACTCAGATAAACGTGAAATTGAGGGCTAACATCAGGCTTCCACAGTTGGCTGATATTCTCAATTTTTGATAACTATTTCACCAATATTACTATCCTGGCCGTATTCACCACTCGCATCTTCATCTTTGAAAGAAAACATTTCTCAGTAGTATAGTCAGCTGATTCTGCCTCCTCGTTTAACGTTATTTAGCTAAAGTAATAAACTTACTGAAATTCTTAACATTTACTCGTGTTCTTACTACTAGTGCCTTCAGGCACTGGTGCTTACCAAGTTGTTCTTTTAAAGTTTTTTTTTTTAGCTGAAACCGGTTTGGCTCAGTGGATAGAGCTTCGGCCTGCGGACTGAAGGGTCCCAGGTTTGATTCCGATCAAGGGCATGTGTCTTGGTTGCGGGCACATCCCCAGTAGGGGGTGTGCAAGAGGCAGCTGATTGATGATTATCTCTCATCGATGTTTCTAACTCTCTATCCCTCTCTCTTTCTCTCTGTAGAAAATCAATAAAATATATATAAAAAATAAATAAAATAAAAATAAAGGAGAATCCAAAATGGCTGCACAGGTAAACACCTAGCCGCAGCTGCGCACAACAATTTCAATAAAATACAACTAAAAAAAAAAAATAAAGTATTTTTATGTGAATACAACACAGTATAAAAAAAAAACACACTTTTTCGTTTTCATTCAAGTTTTAACTCATTGGTAGGATTGCCATAGGCCTAAAAGTATAAAACTCTGAGGAAAAAACATAGGAATAAATCTTCGTGGTTTTGGGTTAGGCAAAGCAACATTTTAGGGGAGAAAACGTGATATATTGAACTACATCGAAATTTATAATTTCTGCAAATGATAGAACCAGAGTAAAATGATAACCCAAGAATGGGAGAAAATATCTACAGATTATGTATCTGGTAAGGGAGTTGTATCCAGAATATATAAGAACTCACTCTTACAATTCAACAGTTAAAAACCATCCAATAAAGAAACCACGGGATCTGTGTAGACATGTCTCCAAAGACAAGCACGTGGCCATTTGGTGGCATAAAAAGATGCTAAATTTCATTAGTCATGGGGGAAAGGCAAATTAAAACCACAGTGAGAAGCTCCTGCCCACCTACTAGGATGACAGAAGTGAAACAGCCGCAAGTGTTGGCAAGAATGGGGAGAAGTTGGCACTTTTGTATCTTGTTTGTGGGATTGCAAAGTGGTGCAACCACCTTGAAATATAGGTTGGCAATTCCTCAAAGTGCTCAACAGAATTGATCATACACTTTACCCCGGTTGTAGATCAAGGTGAAATGAAAACATAGATCCCCGCCAAACCTTGAGTGTGAATGTTAGCCAGAGAAGTGGAAATGACCTATGTGGCCATCATTTGATGAATGGATAAAGCAATATGCTGTATATGCATACAATGGAATGCTATTTAGCAGTAAAAGAACGTTACGGCATGGATGAACCCTGCAAAACGTTAGCCTAAGTAGAAGAAAACCAGTCACGAAAGATTCCGTTTATATGAAATCTGAGCCTCTTGGGGATACTGGGAAATCTTGTAGAATGTGAGGGTAGGTTATGATACTCAAATCTTGGATCTTTGACTATACTAAAACCATTGAGTTATACATATTAAATGAGTAGGTTTTATTGTATTTGAATTATGCATCAATACAGGTGCTTCTTAAAAAGTGAACTCTTCTCATGAGTTCTGAAAATGGATTCCTTAAACTTTTGTGGGGAAAATACAAGGACCAGAAATCGCCAATACTTAGTAAACTTCACGATGCCTTTTTAAGTGACTTCATTTTCTTCGGTTCAAGTCCCAGTGATGTGGGCATCCGAATGTGTCATGCATGCTTTCCTTTGTCATTTGCAGACCATGAGGACTATGACCCGCAGACTGTGAGGCTGGGTAGTAGATACAGTCACGTCCAAGAAGTCCAGGAACGGCTGAACTTCCTGAGGTTGGTTCCAAGCAGTCACTGCTGCTCTCCCTAAGACACAGCTAGGAAAGCACCTTCGTCCGATGTGTCGCTGAGGTCTTTTTCAGGTGGCTTTTCTCAAGTGGAAACCATTGCCTGAAATCACAGGACGCTTCCCTGGTGTTCGTTTATTAAACATTTAGAATTATTGTCTGAGTTTGAACTCTTCTTTGCAGTGCTTGAAGAGAACACATTTTAAACTTTTATACAGAATTCTGTTCTTAAGCGCAAGTTTCCATCCTTTGAGGCAAGCAGCTAGAGAATCATACTGACCCTAATGGCGTCAGAGACACCAAAGAAAAGGGGACAGAAGGCTGCTGGACCAGCACCCGATGGCTCTCTTTTTTTTTTTTTTTCTTCCCCATTTTCCCAGGTTTTTGCTGAAGGACGGCCAGCTGTGGCTATGCGCCCCGCAGGCCAAACAGATCTGGAAGTGCCTGGCGGAGAACGCCGTGTACCTGTGCGACCGCGAGGCCTGCTTCAAATGGTACTCCAAGCTGATGGGGGATGAGCCCGACCTGGACCCCGATATTAACAAGGACTTCTTCGAAAGCAACGTGCTGCAGCTCGACCCTTCCCTCTTAACGGAAAACGGGATGAAGTGTTTTGAGCGGTTCTTCAAAGCTGTGAATTGTCGAGAAGGAAAACTGGTGGCGAAGCGGAGAGCCTACATGATGGATGACTTGGAGCTGATCGGGTTAGACTACCTGTGGAGGGTAAGCTGAGCGCTGTGTGGGCTGGAGCTTTTCAAACTGACTTCGCTGAGCAATGATACCCCAAGGTTTATGCATGTTGGCTCAATGTGGGATTAACTTATTATCCCTGCCTTTACAAACCTGACCTGGTCACAGCAGTGTATATGTCATTTTTACATGAAATACTTTTTCTGCAAGCTAGCTAGCCTAAGAGTTTTATTGTGGTATTTGATTCAGATGTTTTGATTAAGGGGTTTGCAACATTTTCAAATAGTTTTTAAAATTTCAGTTACGGTTGACATGTTTTTAGCATTTTTAAATGGCAGAAACCCTTTTTAAAATAAAAATGTACACACTGCTCCAGGTGAAATAGGTAAAGGGGATTAAGAGGTACAGCCTTCGGTTACAAGTCCTGGGGATTTCATGTACATCGCCGGGGATATCATCAGTGTTGTAATAACTGTGTGGTGATAGGTGGTAACTAGACTTAACCGTGGTGGTCATTTTGTAATCTATACAAATAATCACTAATGTACACCTGAAACTAACATATATTGTATGTCAAAAATAATGATACTCCTGATTAAAACATATTATGTCCTTAGGAAAATGAGTCTTCCCTTCAACAAATTTTTTTATTCAAAGACATGCATTTGTCTTCTTTATTTTGGTCTGTTTTTTCAATTGTACTTAGTTTTCTTGATTACCGAAGTCTGAGTATCCTGAGATTATTGAATACTGTATTAAAAATAACTGAGGGTATGGTTTGAATTGAAATGGCCAACTAAGATATCTTTTTGAACCTAGGTCGTGATTCAGAGCAATGACGATATTGCCAGCAGAGCTATAGATCTCCTTAAAGAGATATACACAAACCTGGGGCCGAGGCTACAGGTGAATCAGGTGAGGACTGCCGGGCATTCAGACATACACAAATTGAAACTCTGGTTGAAGAACTCTTGCTTTAAATAACTTTTCCTTAATTTAGAATTAACTAGAAATTCTTTTGTTTCAACTCTTATTGTAAATATACCTGAAATATTTGGTCCCAATTTCTCGTACAAAATGCTATCTAAATGAATCTAGTCCTAATAATTATCTTGAAATTATCATGTTGAGTATAATTATGGCAAGAGATTTTGACTGAATTTCTTTTGATTAGAACACCTAATTTTGAAGGGTTGTGTGTTTTTTTTTTTTGTTGGTTTTTTTAGTATCTAGTTTACACTTATATAACTCTAGCTTCCTTTGACAATACATAGTATATTCTATTATCAATATAGACTGCCTGGCTGAATACAATCATGGTTAATTGACCGTTACCCTTAAATTAGTTATTGCCATCTTTAATTGGAATAAAGTTTTATGTGTGCATTTAATTTTTACATTTCAAACCAACTTGAACTGTCATGTTTGACCCGTTATTGGTAGGTGGTGATCCATGAAGACTTTATTCAGTCTTGCTTTGATCGTTTGAAAGCCTCCTATGACACGCTGTGTGTATTGGATGGTGACAAAGACAGTATTAATTGTGCGAGGCAGGAAGCTGTTCGGATGGTTCGCGTGTTAACCGTGTTGAGGGAGTACATAAATGAATGCGACAGCGATTACCACGAGGAAAGGACCATCCTGCCGATGTCAAGGTTTGTGAATAAATGATCCGCCAGTGCGGTTGCTGAATGCCTTGGTATTTCCTAGCCATTGGGTTTGGAAAAGTGATGTTCCAGCCTGAGCCAGTGCGGCTCAGTTGGATGAGTGTCGTCCTGTGCACCAAAAGGTTGCTGTTCACTCCCGGTCAGGGCACTTGTCCCCTGATGGGTACATGCAGGAGGCAACGGATCGATGTTCCTGTCTCGCTTTGATGGGTCTTTTTTCCTCTCAAGTCAGTGTTCCAGAAGAAAGTGTTGGGGTCTTGACCATAAAGAGCATTATTTGCATCTTTTAAAATCTTTGGTTAATACTAGTCCTCTTTTTGTTTTCTGGGATCTGTTTTTGGGTTGGTTTGTTTAGTGTTCTCACTCAAGTCAAGTGTGCTCTCTTGTCATTTTATTTTTGCCGGTGACTTTTTTTCTGGTAAGTGTCGCAGGAATGTTTTGCAGTTCCAAGTGTTTTGATGCCATTCATTTGCACCGGTAAAAATAATGGCGTAATAAGGTTAGCGAGTAATCGAAAAGGACTGTTAAAAGCTGCTTTGACAGAGAGCCAGAATAGCAAGGACATTTCCAAGTGGTCTGCTAACAGTTCTTTTACGGTCTTGCCATTTAGTAAATCAAATAGTATTTATTATTTACAGATGTTTATAGAATGAGAGTCACCAGAGTTTTTTTTTCAGTGGATAGAGCGTCAGCCTGTGGACTGAAGGGTTCCAGGTTCGATTCCGGTCAAGGGCATGTACCTTGGTTGTGGGCACATCCCCAGTGGGGGGTGTGCAAGAGGCAGCTGGTCGATGTTTCTCTCATCGACATTTCTAACTCTGTCCCTCTCAATTTTTCTCTGTGTAAAATCAATAAAATATATTTTTTTAAAAATAATAAAGATTCTCAAAAGCTTTAAAAAAAAAAAAAAAAAGATTTCTCTATGGCTGAAACCGGTTTGGCTCAGCAGTAGAGCATCAGTCTGCGGACTGAAAGGTCCCAGGTTCGATTCTGGCCAAGGGCATGTACATTGGTTGCGGGCACATTCCCGGTAGGGGGTGTGCAAGAGGCAGCTGGTCGATATTTCTCTCCCATCGGTGTTTCTATCTCTCTCCCTTCCTCTCTAAGAAAATCACTAAAATATATTTTTTAAAAGATTTCTCTATGAAATGGTTCTCTTTGTTAATTGTGAAATTATTTACAATTGCTCCTTATTTATTTTTACTTTTTGTATCTTATCTGCAATAATATTTATAACTTAAATATTCTGAGGGAGTGAATTTTGATATTAAGACTTTTTTAGAAAAAATAAACACCTTGGTGCTCTCGAGATAGTTATAAGTCAAGTGTTACTCACGTCTTTGTGTTAATTTCTTGTAAACTAGATGCTTCATTTTCTGCAACCATAGGTACAAACGTACAGTAGCAACAATGAAATGTGTTTTTAAGATCACTTAGAGTATTTGTAGTTCAAAGGCGCAGTAAGTTTTTATGTTCAAGACCCTAAAAATAGCCTTAACTCGCTCTCTCTGGTTTAATAAAAAACATTCCATATGAGATTTGTAGCTTTGTCGTCTTTGCGAGGAGGTTTGATACTCTGCTGGATGTGACGATGTTTTTTCTCTTGTTCCCCAGAGCTTTCCGTGGCAAACACCTCTCCTTCATAGTCCGCTTCCCGAACCAGGGCAGGCAGGTGGACGACCTGGATGTGTGGTCCCATACCAACGACACGATCGGCTCCGTGCGGCGGTGCATTCTCAATCGCATCAAAGCCAACGTGGCCCACACCAAGATCGAGCTCTTTGTGGGCGGGGAGCTGATAGATCCTGCTGATGACAGGAAATTGATTGGACAATTAAACTTAAAAGATAAATCCGTAAGTTTCTAGAAATACCAAATGTTTCGAGAAACTCAAAGCTGAGCCCTACCTGGTTTGGCCCAGTGGATAGAGCGTTGGCCTGCGGACTGAGGGGTCCTGGGTTCACTTCTGGTTAGGGGCACATGCTTGGGTTGTGGGCTTGGCCCCATGATTCTCATCATTGACGTTTCTATCTCTCCCCTTCTCCCTTCCTCTTTGAAATCATTTTTTTTAAAAAGGAAATCAAAGCTGAGGCTTATCTTTTCTTCCCATAGTCAACATTGCATTCAGTAAATTATACTTGAGGCTCTATGTCAGTGTTGGGATTTTAACAGTAAATAAAACAGGCATCAGTGTAGTAGAGGAAAGGTTTTCTAAAAACTATAATGGTATGGCCCTAACCAGTGTGGCTCAGTGGATAGAGTATCGGCCAGTGGACTGAAAGGTCCCAGGTTTGATTCCCATCAAGGGCACGGATCTTGGTTGCGGGCACATCCCCCAGTAGGAGTTGTGCAGGAGGCAGCTGATTGATGTTTCTTTCTCATCCATGTTTCTAACTCTATCCCTTTCCTTTCCTCTCTGTAAAAATCAATAAAATATATATTTTTAAAAACAATTAATGGTATGGTTATATTAGACTCTACTTTGGAAAAGTATAGCTTGTAGGTTTTTGTTGGTGTGTTACTGACTTCAGTTTTGTGTATTTTGTTTGCCTTGAATTTGCTGCTAACATACTGTATCATTTTCAGCTAATTACAGCCAAGCTTACACAAATAAGTTCCAATATGCCTTCAAGCCCTGATAGCTCTTCTGATTCCTCAACTGGATCTCCTGGAAACCATGGCAACCATTACAGCGATGGTCCCAATCCGGAGGTGGAAAGCTGTTTGCCCGGGGTGGTGAGTAGCTTTGAGTTGCTGTACGCCAGGCATTGTGCCGGCCTCTTGAAGAATAAAGCAGTGTATTGAACAGGGTGGGTTTTTCCTTGAGGAGCTTTTGATTTATGCGCCTGCACATCAAACAGCTTTGTAGCTAACTGTAGATCCCCTAAAATTGGAATTGGAATTTAAAACCTCTCCTGTAGATACAGTATTGTTATGTTTTCATAAAGTAGATCTGCTCTACAGCTTAATTATAGCTAGTGAATATAAGTTCGGAAGTAAACCACTGTGTTTTAAAGACTAGAAATGGCATAAGCAAAAGTGTGGCAGTTCAGTGTATTGCGCTTTCCTGGGAGGTGTGCTTGACAGGTTCTGTGTGTTTTGTGTTCTAGATAATGTCCCTGCATCCCAGATACATCTCTTTCCTTTGGCAAGTGGCAGACTTAGGGAGCAGCCTAAATATGCCATCTCTCCGAGACGGTGCCAGGGTGCTTATGAAACTGATGCCACCAGGTAAGATTTAAGAACAAAAACTGACGTTGACAAAGGACATGCTGGCCAATGACAGGATGTATTGGCCACTTCTGTTCATAGGTGGCACATGCCTTCCGGCATAGGCCAGAGCGGAAGTTGGCAGTCTTCAGCCCACCGCCCGGTTTCCCAAAGCCTGGGAGCAGCGGGTGTTTCCCCGCAAATAACCTCTTCCAGAGAGAACTCGTGGACAGGCCATGCTCGCCTTAAGGGCAACACCCGCCGTTGTAGCTTCTCTGGAAGCCTAGAGCTTCTTCCATATCGTCATGCACACGAATGGTGTGGTCTCCCGTTAACCTGTTTATCGAATCCTGCCTCATTGTAATGCCATTTTCCAATCCACCAGCTTGATGCTTGACTCCAGAATCCCTGGTCTTGTTTTGAAGAGCATAATGCCACCAGGCGGCGACAGTGAGCTCTGGCCAGGCTGCTCCAAGCGGGGAAATTTGAGGGCGCTTCTCTTTACTCTCTCTCTCTCTCTCTCTCTCTTTCTCTCTCTCTCTCTCTCTCTCTCTTTTTCCTTCCGGTATTTTATGTAATCAAAGTATAGGCCTAGATTTGAAATAGCCAATTTCAGAAAGGCCAGTAATAACTGTATTACAGTATTTAGATCAGAGGCTTTGGACTCAACCAGGCTTCAGTTCAAATCCTGGTATGTAAAACTGAGCTAATAAAAATAACTTTGATACATGGACTAGTGACTGGAATGTAACCAGTACTCAACAAATGTTAGCTTGTTTTCTGTCGCCATGGTTGCTACACACATACACTCACACTCTTTAAGAAAGGAAGCAGGGGTCCCGGCTGGTGTGGCTCAGTGGTTGAACATCAACCCATGCACCAGGAAGTCACTGTTGGATTCCCAGTCAGGGCACATACCTGGGTGGTGGGCTCAATTGGAGGGAAGAATTGCCATTTTCCCCTTTTTGTTATTTTCCTTAAGAACGTCCTTTTGAAGTGTCTGGTGTTTTTTCAGGCTCCAGTGGCTGGAGGGCATGTTGATCTGAAGTCTGAGTAGGGGGAGCCTGCTTCCTTACTGGGGTTTGCTTGGCTGATTAGTGAGCCCTGGTTTGTTTACTTGTTTACTTAGTATTCTTGAGTCAATCCAGATCTGGCTAGATGAAGCTGGAGCCTAGAACTGGCTGCTTATTTCACACTAAAGTCTGTGAGGCGTATCCGCAGTGAGCTGCTGTGCACCTGATGGGCGCTGTGTCTGAGCCGTGTCTCTCCCTTTGCAGACAGCACAACGATAGAGAAGCTGAGGGCGATCTGCCTGGACCACGCCAAGCTTGGCGAGAGCAGCCTTAGCCCGTCTCTCGACTCGCTCTTCTTTGGGCCTTCCGCTTCCCAAGTGCTGTACCTGACCGAGGTTTGCCTTTCCCCACGCCCTTCCCATTGGCCTTTCGTGCTGATGTGGAGGACGAACCCCACAATGAAGTGTTTTGGGATGGTCGGAAGAATTTCCTCGCCGGGGACATAGGCGCTGTCTTTTTAAGACCTTGAACGCAGTCCCTCCCTCTCTCCCCAGGTGGTCTATGCCTTGCTCATGCCTGCGGGGGCGCCTCTGGCTGAAGACTCCTCTGATTTCCAGTTTCACTTCTTAAAAAGTGGCGGCCTGCCCCTGGTCCTGAGCATGCTGACCCGGAATAACTTCCTGCCCAGCGCAGACATGGAGACGCGAAGGGGTGCCTACCTCAACGCCCTGAAAATAGCCAAGCTCCTGCTGACGGCCATCGGCTACGGCCATGTGCGCGCCGTGGCGGAGGCGTTCCAGCCGGGCGTGGAAGGCGTGAACCCTCTCACATCGGTAATGACAGGCCCCTGGAATGCCTCTGGGTGGTAACAGGCGGCCATTTGTAAAGTCCAACCTCTCAACGACTCTTAAGTATTAAGTTCAAAGGGAAACTGTCTCAGGTTCCTTCCAGTGATGCATTATTTTAGGGTGTTTAGTTTTTTTGTGTGTGTGTGTGTGTTTTTCCTCTGTTAAATTTTATTTGTATTAAAGTGCAAATGCTTTCCACTCACTATATTTTTATTTGAGAGACTAGTTCTTCACGCCCTCTTAAATCCTGTTTGACTTTGTTTTTTTTCTTTATAATATGTATGTATACCCTGTTTCCCCGAAAATAAGAGTGTCTTATATTAATTTTTTCTCCCAAAGTTGCGCTAGGTCTTATTTTCAGGGGATGTCTTATCTTTCCATGCACTAGGTCTTATTTTCAGGAGATGTCTTATTTTCGGGGGAACACGGATAGATAGACATAGATATTCTTTTTATTTTATTTTTACAGAGAGGAAGGGAGGGGGGAAAGTTACATTAAAGACACTGATGGGAATAAAAAAGGTGTAATTGATTTAGCTTGTTGCCTCCAAAAGTTCTCACGACCTGCTAGAATTTAATGCCTGTTTATTAGAGGTGTAATGCTGCATTTAATACAGACTAAAATTTGAGTTATATGCATCATACGTGATGATTTGCTAAGTTACTGATAGGAGATAAAGACTTCAGGAATATATTCTTTTTTTAATGGCTTAGGTTTAATCAGGGAGGTTGAATGTGGATTAGATGCGTGATACTATTAATGTCACATGTAATTGAGATAATAGCACTTGTAATTTTGGGCGTGCTAATGGCACCGTGGTTATGTTTGAAAGGACTATTTCCCACCGCCGCCCTTTTCCCTTTTTTTTTTTTTTTTTTTTTTTTTTGAGTAGTTGCTGAAATAGAGATGAAATTATATATCTAGGGTTTGTTTTCAAAATGCATCCTGGGCTGGGGAAGGGACAGAAAGCAAGGAAGGGTGGCAGTTAAACAATTGGGGTCCTTTGTTAGTAATTTTTGGTGCTTGCCAATGGGCACGTGGGCGTTCTTAATGCTATTCTCTCCACATTTGTATATCTTAGAACAGTCTTCCGTGGCCTGAGTCCTGCATGTTCTTGGCCCGTGTGTGTGAGGCTGGGAAGCGTGGTTCTTGGTTAGCTAAAGCCCCCTCCGCACGGTCCTGGCACTGGGCTCAGTGCGTCCTGGGAAGCAGCTCCGTGCTCCCCTCTCGCTGTCCCTTTGCGGCATCGGTTCCGAACACGGGCTGTGTGCGCACAGAGTACACAGCGGTTCTCCTTCAGCTGTGGACCAGGGATGTCAGCGTGAACGGCAGGCAGAATTGCCTGAAAGGGACTCCTTAAAAGTAACCTTTTCTTGTGGGTTTAAAAACATGGTTACTCCATTAAGTAAAACTCTGGTACCATTCATATTTTTGCACTTCTGATTTTTCTTGATTTTTCTTCTTTCCCAAGAAGAATTTGGTCATCGGGGCACGGGGCAGGGCTGCTGCCTGTCAGTTCAGCTTACCGCCTCACCCTAACCCTTACAGTGGTGCTGAGCCCAGAGCAGGGACATGAGCTGGATGGGTCTGGAGCGGGGGCGGGCACTCTCACACCTAAGAGAAAGAAGCAGCCCCACAGTTGGCACTGTGGGGTGCTGTCTGGAAGGAAGTCATCCCGAGGGAGTGTGATGGGCAGGAACGAGCGGGTGTGGTTACGGAGCGATCATTGGCTCCAAGGAAAACGGTCGCCTTTTCCAGGTCAATCAGGTCACGCACGACCAGGCGGTGGTGCTGCAGAGCGCGCTGCAGAGCATCCCGAACCCGTCGTCCGAGTGCATGCTGCGGAACGTGTCCATCCGCCTGGCCCAGCAGATCTCCGACGAGGTGGGTGCTCGGCCTCTCAGGCTCTGGCCGCCTGGAGCGTCCGTGGGGCGCTCTGCCTTCGCCCCTCCGTGCGTGTAGCGGGAACCCTTGTCACAGGTTAGGGCTTGCGTTTCCCCGGCCTGCTGGCTTTAGTCCCTCTCAGACGAGATCAAGTTCCCTTAACATAACTTCGGTCTACTAGCAATGCCCGTGCTTTCTGGGCGTGGTCCTCTGTGTGCACAGAGAGCAGCATGCTTTTCCAGTTTGTAATTCGCTGAATTTTTTTTTCATATATTTTTATTGAGTTTTTACAGAGAGGAAGGGAGAGAAATAGAGAGTGAGAAACATCGATGAGAGAGAAACATGGATCAGCTGCCTTCTGCATACATCCCACTGGGGATGTGCCCACAACCAAGGTACATGCCCTTGACCGGAATCGAACCCGGGAACCTTCAGTTTTCAGGCCGAAGCTCTATCCACTGAGCCAAACCAGCTAGGGCTTGCTGAATTTTTTTTTTTTTTTTAATTGACTTTATAGAGAGAGGGGTCGGGGGAGAAACATCCATGATGAGAGAGGATCATGGATCAGCTGCCTTCTGCACGCCCCACACTAGAGCCCAAAACCCGGGCATGTGCCTTGACCGGGAATCAAACTGTGACCACCTAATTCCTAGGTTGACACTCAACCCATGAGCCACACCGGCCGGGCTGTAATTCGGTGAATTTTGAGAAACGCCTCACAGGCACGTGATCCCATCACTTTTGGGGTGCCCCTGCGCGGTTCGTTCTCCCTCCATCCCTGCCCCACGTGACCGCTGATCTTTTGTCACCGGACACTCGTTTTTTGTTTCTAGAATTTCACACAGACAGAAGCAAATGCCATGTTCTTTTATGTCTGGCTGCTTTACGCTGGATAGCGCCTGGAAACTGACCATGCGGGAACCATTAGTCCATCCCTGTTACTGTCGAGTGGCGTTCCCTGGTGGACATTGCACGTTGCGTTTGTCCGTCCACTTGGCAAAGGCCGTCAGGATGGCTTCCCCTTTTTTGGTCGCAAGGGAAGCTGCTGGGAACGTTCTGGAGTGTGGGTGTGAGCACAGGTTTTGTGTATCTCAGGTTAACAGCAAGGGAGGAATGGGGCCGTCCTCCGTAGTCGTTTTGCGGTTGTGGGGCAGTATGACAGGTGTACTGCGTGGCACCGCCAGGCCACGTGGAACCTGCACACGACTCCTTCCAGAGGAGAAGCATGTCTGCTCTTTCCGTGCTTACTCCGCTCACTCACTTGCTGCTGTCGTCATTCCTGCCTTGCAGGCTTCGAGGTACATGCCCGACATCTGCGTGATCAGAGCCATTCAGAAAATCATCTGGGCCTCCGGGTGTGGCGCTCTGCAGCTGGTGTTCAGCCCGAATGAAGAAATCACGAAAATTTATGAGAAGGTAAGAGCTAACACAGAATCGCTCTCTCTTCAATGAGCGTTGTTCAATACTGAATTTGCTGGCTTCCATCCTCACTGTTCTTCCCCATCACCTTTCTGTCCGGTGTAGAGTTGAGCTTAGCTGACCGTCAGTAACCTACCCACACATATTGTAGGTTGTCAGACCTTCCTTAGCTGTTCTCTAAGACAGATGCTTCAGAACAAGCTGGCGCTGCAGGTGAGCTAGAGGTGGGACTAGTCAGGCTCCTGGCTGTGGTGCACGGTGGCTCTCCAGGAAGGAGTGGCTGCTGGTGCCAAAGAACCCGCTCCGTAGGTCTCCAGGAGCCTGGTGGGCGGAAGCAGGTGGTGGTGTGGTCAGCAGCTCCCTGGGAAGGAGACCCTGGAATTAGGCTCCGTTGTCCGCCGCAGTCCTTCCCATGCTATTCCGAGCTGCAGGTGGCGGCCCAGGCCAGGTGGATTGCGGGGGATCTTTTCCTTAATGCGTTTCTAGATCACTTTCCGCTGTTGTTTCAGTCCAATGTGGGCAACGAGCTGGACCTGGAAGACGAGCAGGTTTGCTGCGAAGCGTTGGAAGTGATGACGCTGTGTTTTGCCTTGATTCCCACGGCCTTGGATGCTCTGAGCAAAGAGAAGGCGTGGCAGACATTCATTATCGACTTGCTACTGCACTGTCACAGCAAGTGAGTGCCTTCCGTTGTAAGAAGCTTGGTTCGGTGCACAGAGGTCATTTCTGGCGGCAGAATGTATCCCAGCAGTCAAAACTGTCTTGTCTCTGTAGCATATTAACATCTAGGAAAAGGTTATTTAAACGTGTTTTGCTTACCCATATTTGTTTGGATTTAGTCTCTGCAAAATGTCCAATTCCCAAGTGAAATTAATTTTTCTCTGATTTCAGAATTTTGTTTGACCTAACAGGTATATATTTTAGCCCGTTTTAAAAATGTACTTTACACGGTTTTAAGTTAAATAGAGCATTAGCCTCCCATCTTGAATAACTAGCTACAGGGTGTGTGTGTGGGTTTTTTAAGAGAAGTTGTTAATTCAATAGGACATTCAGAAGGCAGGATTATGGTATGAACTTCTTTCTGTATTTTACACAAAGAATAAAAACCAATTATAAGTCCTCGTTTGCATTTGAAGAGTATTTAATCAGACTTTTTTTAGTATTTATTATTGAGCTCAGTACAGGTGCTTCCCATTCCCATTGTCCCCCTCCACCCAGACCCCGTCCTACCCCAAGCCTTCTCCACCTTATTTCTCCCCCAGAAAATGTGCACTCCTGACTTCAATGAACATGAGTTCCACCAGAATCAACCCTCTGACTTGTATGACCTTGCGGGGTTTCAAAACCCTCCCAGCCCCCAGGAGGGTGCGTGCACGCAGCAGAGCTGCATGAGGCTCTCTGTGGTGCATCTGGTACCTGGAGGAGTGTTTCTGGTCTTTGCCAAGGAACAGGTGTTAAAAGGCACCTCCAAACTCATCCGTGACAACTTGAGGTTACAGTTCTTAGCACACAGCCTAAATCCATGGATGTGTGTTGCCGGCTTAAGGGGTGTTATCTTGTATACTTGAATTTTCACTTTTTAACTTCTCTACCTCTCATCCCCACCTTCCCCGGGGAGACCAGGGCTATATTTTGTGGGGTTTTCCTTCATGAGAGTCCAACACTAACCGGAAGCCTTTCTCTCGCAGGACCGTCCGCCAGGTGGCGCAGGAACAGTTCTTCCTGATGTGCACCAGATGCTGCATGGGCCACCGGCCGCTGCTCTTCTTCATCACGCTGCTCTTCACCGTCCTGGGGGTGAGACTCCGTGCTTGTCCGGGGGGCACGTTCTTCACAGGGGGCTCCCAGGAAGTCGTGCTTTAGATTGCATTGCATTAGAGCGGTCTGCCCGGGCAGTAAGATGGCTACTTCCCATACGATATTAGCCATCTGCTCCAGGTGAGTTTTTAAGAAGCGAATTCATATCTGCTTGCTTGTTTCAGAGCACAGCCAGGGAGAGAGCCAAACACTCGGGTGACTACTTCACTCTCCTGAGGCACCTTTTGAATTACGCTTACAACAGCAACATTAATATACCCAATGCCGAGGTTCTTCTCAACAATGAAATTGATTGGCTGAAAAGAATTAGGGTAAGTTGCATTTCCCATATCTCTTAAGTTGAGTAGTTTGTTAATAGCTTATAGTTTTGAGCATTTTGATTAAGTGAAAAACACTAAAGAGGGTTAAAAAGGACTGACAAATGTATCCCACATTGGTGGACGTTAGTAACTCGGTAATCATAGTACCGGTGCATAGCTAGTTCTGTAAAATGCTTTGTTTCACTTGAGACTTGGTAAGCAGATTTTCACCTTTCATTGTAGAATTGTGGGCCTTTTTACAAATATGTTCTTTTTAAAGTATTCTTGATAAATCGGATAGGCTAGCACTTGATTTAATTCTTGATCTTAAGACCTGATACTTCTTACTTAGAATTGTATGGGAGTTTCTTTCTGAAGAGATTTGTAGCTTTTAGCCTTTGGTAGCTTCTAAAACGACTTCTAGAAAGTTCTGAAATGGCTTAGAATGGACAGGCGTGAAGTGCTTTCCGCATGTCTGTGCAGCCCTCTCTCGCTCTGGTTCTTCCCTCCCTTGCTGCCTCCCTTTCATAGGTTGAATGTTGGAGTTTTTTGTCTTTTGACAGGATGAGGTGAAGAGAACAGGTGACACAGGTGTTGAGGAGACAATCTTGGAAGGACACCTGGGGGTAACAAAGGAGTTGCTGGCCTTTCAAACCCCCGAGAAGAAGTATCACATCGGTTGTGAGAAGGGGGGTGCCAGCCTCATTAAAGTAAGTCCGTTGTCTTGGTCCTGCTGCAGCCTTCTAAGCTTTGTGTTAAGTAAAGTTTCCTAAAGTTAAATAAGCACTGATAGTTTTCCTCTTTGGAAAGTTGGAATTTTTCACTTTGTCAGACTAAAATGAGACAGACCTGTGTATGGTTGTTCATTGTAGTGCATAGAGTTACAAAGTGGGCTCTTTTTATTGGAAAATCCAAACAAGTTTTCCGGAGAGGTAATGAGATCTTGCGTTCTGACAAGTGATGTAATCAACATAAATGTCTAATGACACAGATGCTATGTCATCATAATCCGCCATCTTCCTTTCGGCCTCATAGGAGCTAATTGACGACTTCATCTTCCCTGCATCCAACGTGTACCTGCAGTACATGAGGAACGGGGAGTTGCCCGCCGAGCAGGCCATCCCCGTCTGCAGCTCCCCGGCCACCATCAATGCTGGCTTTGAGCTACTGGTGGCACTGGCTGTGGGCTGCGTGAGGAATCTCAAGCAGATAGTAGAGTCTTTGACTGAAATGTATTACATTGGCACAGCAATAACTAGTAAGTATTTCACAGTGTCGTGATAACAGAACTCAAATTCTGTTTTCCTGGTTTTGTAGTAACCATCTTCAGTTCGGGCTCTCCTTTCAGCAGCTGGTTCAGTGTAACCTTTCTAGCAGGTGGATGTATAATTGAAGACCATGGCCAATGAGGAGGGAGCCTTAATGTAAAAGTTGTCAAGTGTTTAACTGCCTTCCTGCATGTAGTGTAACTACTGAGCAAAATCAACCCCATCTCCACCAAATCTGGAATAAAGCCCAAACTCCAGATGCTGTGTAACCAAAATCAAAGCCAGAGTTCAAACTTAAGTTTAAGAATATAATCTATTACAATAAATTTTTTTAGTATATTTTATTGATTTTCTTACAGAGAGGAAGGGAGAGAGATAGAGAGCTAGAAACATCGATGAGAGAAACATTGACCAGCTGCCTCTTGCACACCCCCTACTGGGGATGTGCCTGCAACCAAGGTACATGCCCTTGACCGGAATCGAATCTGGGACCTTTCAGTCCGCAGACCGACGCTCTACCGCTGAGCCAAACCGGTTTCGGCTATTACAATAAATTTTTAAGAACATGTCATATTTTATATGTTAGACTTCAGAATAGAAGGTCATTTTAAATAACATTGTAGGAGATTCCGATGAAACTGACTGCTTTAAAGGTGTTAGATCAGTGGTCGGCAGAGTGTGGCTCTTCCACAAAATACCACATGCGGGCGCACACGTACAGTGCGATTGAAACTTCAGAGCCCATGCGCAGAAGTCTGTTTATGGCTCTCAGAAGAAATTTCAGTCGTGCTGTTGATATTTGACTCTGTTGACTAATGAGTTTGCCGACCATTGGCTTAGACCTTTAGCTATTCTGCCAGAAGCAGGGGTCCTTCTGTAATGTGTTGGTGTGCTTAGGTAGCCTTTAATGCCAGCATGCATTTGGAAGGCACTTTGAAAAACATACCAAAGTAGAAAGTTCATAATGACTAATACAGGTACAGGTAGCACGTAGGGATTAGCATTGTACAATCTCAAGGTTGCTGAGGTTGCCGTTAGAATAAGCAGCGCCCGGTAAAATGTGGGTTCACGGGTGTACGAATCCCTGTAGTGCAGCACGTTGCTGTGTGCGGGCTTAGAGCGCCCCTTCAGGCGGCTGTGGGAGTGGAGTTGTTGCTGGTGTCAACTGCTCAGCTGAGAGCTGAAGGGGGAGAAAATGACGTCCACACTAGACTAGAACCTCTTCTGTCCGCAGCCTGTGAGGCACTTACGGAGTGGGAGTACCTGCCCCCTGTTGGGCCCCGCCCTCCCAAAGGATTTGTGGGGCTGAAGAACGCCGGCGCTACCTGCTACATGAACTCCGTGATCCAGCAGCTCTACATGATCCCCTCCATCCGGAACGGTATTCTGGCCATTGAAGGCACAGGTAGTGATGTAGATGATGATATGTCTGGGGATGAGAAGCAAGACAACGAGGTAAATGTTTAATTCTATTGGCCTTTTTTGTTTTCTGTTCCACGTTCTGATACCAAACGCTGTTCTCTCTTAGGGAGTGATGTGCTTTCATTGGGCCTGATGGCAGATGTTGGGAAATAAAGCTAGAATCTTCTAGTATGGGCTATCTATTGGACTTGAAACTAGTTCGTTTTTTTAAATATATTACTGATTTTTAGAGAGAGGGGAAGGGTGGGGGGTAGAGAGAAACCTCCATGAGAGGTGAACATCATTAATTGCTTGCTTCCTGCTCGGCCCCTAAGCATCTTTGCCTTTCAGAAAAGCTTTATGGGGGGTGCCTACACCATCCCTGGTGAAGTTCAGACTCTAGTTCTGTAGTCTGTCTCAACCCTGAGATGCTGAGTTAAGCACGAGAGAGAGAGAGAGAGAGAGAGAGAGAGAGAGAGAGAGAGAGACTGTGCCCACAAGTAAAGAAGGCAGACAAGAGACGATACAATTTCAAATAAGATGTCCTGCCTTTGTTCTCCGCAAAGGTGTGCCCTCGGCACTTCGCTCTGCTAGTTTGGGGTTTTGTTGCATGTTTTTATCTGTGCTTGTTGCCCTAGGCTGTAAGTTCTGATGTGCAGGGACTAGATATTGTCTGTTTCTCAGACAATTCTGCAGCCCCAGGTCTCTCTCCGTATCTGAATTTGTCCCAGCTCCCTCACATAATTGGAATCATACCATATCTGTCTTTTTATGACCAGCTTATTTTACATGACACGTTGTCCTCCAGGTTTATCCAGGCCAAAGCATGTGTCAATTTCCTTCCCTCTGAAGGCCAAACGATATCCCGTGTGTGGATATGCCACGTTTTGTCTCAGTGGACACGGGTTGCTTCGGCTTTGGCTGTTGGGAATAATGTGCTATGAGCATGAGTGCACGTGTGTCTCTCTGAGACTTTCCTTTCAGTTCCTGGGGTGTGTACCCAGAAGTAGAACTGATGGACCCTGTGGGGATTGTATTTTAATTTTTAATCCTCATCCAAGGGTGGGTGTGTGTGTGTGTGTGTGTTGCCTCCTGTTAGAGCCCCAGCCAGGGGTTAAACCCACAACGTTTAGGTTCACAGGAGAGCACTCCAACAAGGCACCTGGCCAGGGTTCTGTTGTTAATTTTTTAAAGGAACTCTTTCTTTTTTCTTTTTTAATATATATTTTATTTATTTATTTATTTATTTTTACAGAGAGGAAGGGAGAGAAATAGAGTTATAAACATCAATGATAGAGAAACATCGATCAGCTGCCTCCTGCACACCCCCCACTGGGGATGTGCCCGCAACCAAGGTACATGTCCTTGACCGGAATCGAACCTGGGACCCTCAGTCCGCAGGCCGATGCTCTATCTACTGAGCCACACCGGTTAGGGCTAAAGGAACTCTTCTTCACAATGGCTATACCATTTTACCTTCCTGCCAACCATGTACAAAGGTTCTAGTGTCTTTCACAAGCGTTATTTCATGCAATACAACAGCTACGTGGAGAATGCGTTGTCCCCGTGATTTATTTATACAGGTTACCTAGCTGATAGTGCTGAGCCTGCATGTATGTCCCATCTGAGTGCATCGCTACACTGTGGTATCAGCTTACCCACCTCTCCGGTACATAGCCGAGCAACTCCTGTGAAATGTTGGAAATTAAAATTTACAATCTCAAAGTTATTTGGAAATAAAAAGTAGTCATACAGATCACTTGTTCACTAACTGGCATTTGTCTCAGTGTATTTGCGTATACTTGAAAGTTAAATGAGCTCACCGGTGCTGTTTGTTGTTTCCAGAGCAATGTGGATCCCAGAGATGATGTATTCGGATATCCTCAGCAGTTTGAGGACAAACCAGCACTGAGTAAAACGGAGGATAGGAAGGAGTACAACATCGGTGTGCTCCGGCACCTGCAGGTTATCTTTGGCCACTTGGCTGCTTCCCGGCTGCAGTACTACGTGCCCCGAGGATTCTGGAAGCAGTTCCGGTAAGCCGCGGGCAGGCGGTGCTGAGGATGCCGCTTAAGCCTGTGCCCTCTCAAAACATTCAACTTCTCCGATCGATGTCGGCAGGCACTGTACGTGTCAGCAGTAGCAATATTCAAACTTCCTAGTAGGTCTTTTGCTCGTGTCCTCAAAGCAGGGGGAGGAAGTGTCATAAGAGAGGGCAGCAGCATTTAGTCTTTGAAAGGTGGCACCGTTTTTTCTTGGGGGAAGTTCTCATATTTATGGAAGTAGGAGAAATAGTACAAACCTTACGTATGTGTCACCCTACTTCAGTGACCAACTCATGGCCAGGCTGTTTACTCCATGTTCCCGTCTACTGCTTTCCAGATTGCTTTGAAGCAAATCTCATGCATAGTTCCATCCATAAATATGTCAGTATGTGTCTCAGATGTCTTGAAAAATACAACCGTAATTCTATTGTCCTGTCTTTAAAATACCCTTGTCTCATAATTGTTTATTACTATATTTTTAAAAAGCAGGACACTAAAGTCCATATACCAAAATTCTGCTATTCTCTACTATTGGGGGGGTGGGGTTTGCCCTTGCAACTATTTGTTGCAGGAAAAAAATAGTCATTTACCATGTAAAGGTTTCCACCCTTGAGAAATACATTGCATATATTGTTCTGAGAGTGTCATATTACATCTTCTATTCCATTCATTTTTTAGGCTTTGGGGTGAGCCTGTTAACCTGCGTGAGCAACATGACGCTTTAGAATTTTTTAATTCTCTGGTGGATAGTTTAGATGAAGCTTTGAAAGCCTTAGGACATCCCGCTATGCTAAGTAAAGTTTTAGGAGGTTCCTTTGCTGATCAGAAGATTTGCCAAGGCTGCCCACATAGGTAAGTGGTAATTATTACATAGTTTATGTTGTGCTGTTTATTTACTAACAAAAATAAAATTTTCATTAGTTATGTGGAGTATGCCACTGGTGACTAAATATCTCCGGCTGGATGAATTATATACTGTGTATACCTCACTACTTTGGAAGTTTTTTTGTTTGTTTTCATAACATAACTAGAGGCCCGGTGCATGAAATCCATGCACAGGTAGGGTCCTAGGCCTGGCTGGCTGTCAGGGCCTTCCTTTGTTCCACTCTACCCCCTGGTGGTCAGCACACATCAGCAAGCAGTAGAACGCCCGGTCAACTCCTACGAGGACATTCTGCACATTACCCTTTTAGATAGATAAGATAGATAAATAGATAATTTGCTTCTTTTTACTGTATAATCTTTTGCTATTTCATACTCTTAAATTTTATGTATGGTTATTTTTGAGGAAATAAAATCATTTTCCATACTGATGCAGATATTACTTATAAATTTGTCCTTCGTTTTAGAATTAAAATAATTATAATATTGTAAATGCAGTGACTTTACAAGATGACAGAAATAGAGCACTATTTCCTATACAAATGAAATACTGACTTTTAAAATAGCATTGATTATAATCATTATCCTTAAGGTATGTTTTCCACAAGGAATATAGTAAGAGTTGACTAAACAAATTGGCTTTTTTTACTTAAAAGGGAAATTGTTTGATCAGGACTTACTGAAAATAGTTCAATAATTATTAAAAATTTGTTACTGATAATGTTTATACCTATTACATGGAAATTTTGTTTTGGAATCTTTGAAATTGTTTTTGCCAAAATATCACAGTATTTTCCACAAGCCCAAGCTGCATTCCATGTGGTCATGGGTTGTGTGTGTGTATGGTTGGTGGGCTGCTTCACTTTGGAGCAGAGAGAAATGATTGTGGTGAGTAATACTGTGTGAATGAGAGGTGCGTTAGGTTAAGGCATTCAGTTCAGGGAATGTCGTTGTCGCGTAGCCTGCAGTTTGTGGTCCTTTTGAAAGACGTGTTATGCCCAGTCAGTATGGCTCAGGGATTGAGCGTCAACCTATGAACCTGGAGGTCACAGGTTCGATTCCCAGTCAGGGCACATGCCTGGGTTGCAGGCTCCATCCCCAGTGTGGGTATGTGCAGGAGGCAGCCCATCCATGATTCTCTCTCGATATTTCCCTCTTCCTCTCTCTTCCAGTCTAAAATAAATACCATAAAAAAAATTTAAAAAATAAAAGACTTGTTACATTAGGTGGACAATAAAATTCTCATTTTTCACATTTTTTTTTAAATTCTTTATTGTTGAAAGTATTACATACGTCTCCTTTTTCCCCATTGACTTCTCCCTGCCCACCCTCCGCACATGCCCTCACCCCCCTATTGTCTGTGTCCATTGGTTATGCTTATATGCATGCATTCAAGTCTTGGTTGATCTCTCACCCTCCTCCCCCTCGAATTTTGACGGTCTGTTTGATGCTTTTATGTCTCTAGATCTATTTTTGTTCATCAGTTTATGTTGTTGATACTTGTTTTTAATTGCTGATAAAATAGCCAACTTTTTTGTATATTTTTATTGATTTCAGAGAGGAAGGTAGAGAGAAACATCCATCATGAGAGAGAATCAATCATTGATGGGCTGCCTCCTGTATGCCTCACACTGGGATGGAGCCCACAACCTGGGATCACATCTGGGGCCCTTCAGTCTACAGGCCGACACTATCCACTGAGCCAAACTGGCTAGGGCCAGATAGCCAGCTCTTCAGTTATATCTTCCTGTTAGTCCTTGATTTGTTTTAGGCGGTTTTCCATTTTATTGGAATGACTGGTTTCCTGTGAAAGGCCGGCGGTAAAATAAATATTGCAGGCTTTTGGGGGCTGTGAGGTCTCTGAGGCAACTACTCGACGCTGCTGTTCTGGTGGAAGCAGCCAGGCAGACAGTAGGTCAAGGCAGGTACGTTCCAGGAAAACTTGACAAATGGGCACAGGGCCCGATTTGACCAGTCGCCCACACACAGCCTGTTACCCTGCCCTAGACAAAGCCCTAAGCCAGAACGGGGGCGCTCCGTGTGACCGGGCCTGTGACAACAAGACTACTTCCGTTGGGGAGCAGGCTTTTAACGTGAGGGTTTTAGTAAGATCGTGCTCTCAGCTTCTCCACAAAGCCACGGTTTCATGGTGTAGAATACTGCAAATGCCCGCGACTAAATGCTAGTAGACTGCCGAAACCGGTTGGGCTCAGCGGTAGAGCGTCGGTCTGTGGACTGAAAGGTCTTGGGTTCGATTCCGGTCAAGGGCATGTACCTTGGTTGCGGGCACATCCCCAGTACAGGGTGTGCAAGAGGCAGCTGGTCGATGTTTCTTTCTCATTGACGTTTCTAGCTCTCTATCTCTCTCACTTCCTCTCTGTAAAAAATCAATAAAATATTTTTTTTTTTAAATGTTTAGTAGACTGAGGAATAACTCCTTTTTGATCTTTTTTTAAATAATATCTTTAGATACGAGTGTGAAGAATCTTTTACGACTTTGAATGTAGACATTCGAAATCACCAAAATCTTCTTGATTCTTTGGAACAATATGTCAAAGGAGATTTATTAGAAGGTGCAAATGCATATCATTGTGAGAAATGCAATAAGAAGGTATGAATTGTCTCGTTTATCTTAATTATGACTACATTTAATGGATTTGGAAGAAGTTGACGTTTGTTCTTAAAATTCACCTTCATTTCTACCCTGCTTTGTAGTGGTAGCAGAGGGCAGTTGAGATGGTAACTGATTGAAAGGTCAGGGAAAGAAGACGGAGAGAAAGTTGCCTGGGAGGGTAGGGAAAACAGGTGAGTGAGGTAACAGTGAATCATTTTAGCAGCCATAACAGCTTAGTATCACATGTTCTTGACTGAAACACAGACATGTTTCATTTATACTCAGCCAACCTGCTACTGAAATCCTCGGAGCTATAGAGTCGTTGAACCTCTCAATTCTTCTCTCACGTCCAGAGTTACTTGTCAAGACCAAGGAGTTTGCTAAAGCCATGAATTCCTTCCTTTAGCCACATCAGGCTGCTTCTACCACTGGGTCAGATCTTTAGGCCCACCTGATGGTTTTTATCTGGGGCAGCTGGCATCTTTTTGGGGGAGACGACTCAGACAGAAGTAATGTGTATTTGGGTGGGCTCCCAAACCCTCTCACACAGAACTCACCTGGGTTGGGTTACACACCACTTAGGCGGGTGTCAAAGTCCAGAGGGAGATGGTGAGTTGTGAGGCCATACTGCCTGCCGCCCACAGCTCTCAGATTTGAGGCAAGTTACTGATTTCTGTGCTGCTCCTGAGCTTCATCCTTACGATGCAGTAGCACCTGCCCGAGAGCGCTGTGAGGATTGAATATGTTACTTCGGGGCTGCATCTAGCATGTTATTTGGTACCTGGTTACCCAATAAATATTTGCTGCTATTGCTGGATTTCTTCATTTTGCTCACAGAAAACTATACCTCCATTAGATTAGCAATAGTTATCAAACAAGTGATAATGGTTTAATGACCGTGTAAAAACCATGCAGTGGGTAATTTAATTACTAATTTTTGTACTTTCTAATAAATAGCATTAGCTATTTCCATACTAGTTTTAGTTAATATTTAAAATATCAACTATGACAGAATTAACTTGTGTTCCTTGTGTGTTTGTAGACACATAATTTCAAACTTAACAGAACTTACCTGTGTCACCTCAATTAATTTAATTAAAAAAGAATAACACAATTTTAAAGTCTCTTTTGCTATGGATTGATTATAAGAAAGTGGCAACTAGTAATTTGGTCTGTTTATTTCAGGTTGATACTGTAAAACGCCTGCTAATTAAAAAATTACCTCCTGTTCTTGCTATTCAACTGAAACGATTTGACTATGACTGGGAAAGAGAGTGTGCGATCAAATTCAATGATTACTTTGAGTTTCCGCGAGAGCTGGACATGGAGCCTTACACGGTGGCAGGCGTCGCCAAGCTGGAGGGGGATAGCGTGACCCCCGAGAGCCAGCTGATCCAGCAGAACGAGCAGTCCGAGAGCGAGGCAGCGGGCAGCACCAAGTACAGGCTGGTGGGCGTGCTGGTGCACAGTGGGCAGGCGAGTGGCGGCCACTATTACTCCTACATCATCCAGAGGAACGGCGTGGACGGTGAGAGGAACCGCTGGTATAAGTTCGACGACGGCGACGTGACCGAGTGTAAAATGGATGACGACGAAGAAATGAAAAACCAGTGCTTCGGGGGAGAGTACATGGGAGAAGTGTTCGATCACATGATGAAGCGCATGTCATACAGGCGCCAGAAGAGGTGGTGGAATGCCTACATCCTCTTCTATGAGCGACTGGACACCATAGACCAAGGTGATGAGTTGGTGAGATACATATCCGAGCTGGCCGTCACCAGCAGGCCCCGTCAGATCGTCATGCCCTCGGCCATCGAGAGAAGCGTGCGCAAGCAGAACGTGCAGTTCATGCATAACCGGATGCAGTACAGCTTGGAGTATTTCCAGTTCATGAAAAAATTGCTTACGTGTAATGGTGTTTACTTAAACCCTCCTCCCGGTAAGTGCCAAAAGCATGCAGCTGCTTCATGACAAAACATGGTCGTCCTCTCCTGGCAGGGTTTCTCCAGAGGCGTCAGCGTGTTTGGTTTTCACATTTGGTGGTTTGTACTCTTATTTCAGAAGACTTCTCTTTAAGAACGGGAGCTTTTGTTTATTATAACAATTGGTTTTATTTGAGCATTAGTTTGGAATGCGCTTTAGAGAACTAAGAATTATTTCATGTCCTAGCCAGTTTAGCTCAGTGGATTGAGCATTGGCCTGTGAACTGAAGGGTCCAGGGTTTGATTCTGGTCAAGGGTTGCAGGCTCAATCCCCAGTAGAGGGCATGCAGGAGGCAGCCGATCCGTGGTTCTCTCTCATCGATGTTTCTATCTCTCCATCTCCCTTCCTCTCTGAAGTCAATTAAATATATTTAAATATATACAAGTATGTACATATACATATGAATTATTTCATGAGTAAACTTTTGAGGAATGGTGGGAATGTATGCTTGTTTGAAAATGGGTTTGAATATAGAAATTGGTCTGATTTTTCTGTCTATGTTTTATTTATAGGGCAAGATCACCTGTTGCCTGAAGCAGAAGAAATCACCATGATTAGTATTCAACTTGCTGCTAGGTTCCTCTTCACCACGGGGTTTCATACCAAGAAAGTAGTCCGTGGCTCGGCCAGTGATTGGTATGGATTTTCCATATGGCGATGGATTATTTTCCTTCCTATTCTACTAGCATGTAGTTTGGTTCTTTCATTTTTTTTCCAAACCATAATAATCTTGTTTCAGATTGGAATAATCTGAGAATTTAAAATCTCTTGGTAGCAATAGTGAGAGAAAGCACACTGAAGTAATTATTTAATAATGAACATGGCTTTTTATTACTAAAAAGCAGGCTTCTGCTTCTACTGTTTTGTATAGTCTTTGACATCCCCTGTACAAAAGATTACAGGATGATAGTTAAAAATCGAACTTTTGATCAGGAAATAATGCATTTTAGCTTTCCTATATTAAATAATGCCATAGATGAAAAGGGTAAAGAGGGAGCTTTCTGTGTTTCTAATTGTGACAGTGTAAAGGCCATTATAATGCGTTAACTTAACCATTTTTACTTACCCAGTGGTAAGATGGTTAAGGGTGGGGCAGGTGCTGTTTTACCATCGTGAACCTAGCAAGAGTTTGGTAATAGACCTATAGAGAAAAACATACAAGATTTTGTCTGTTCTGTCTCTTTGTGAGAATAGACCAAGTCATAGTATTCATCTGTCATTTCAGTACTAGTACCAGCAGCACCCTCCAGCAGTAAGAGGTTTTTGGGTTTTAGTTGATTCAGAGAGACCCACCCTGTATTGCTGTTCATAGACTTTTTTTTCTTTATATCAGGTATGATGCACTGTGTATTCTCCTTCGTCACAGCAAGAATGTGCGCTTTTGGTTTGCTCACAACGTCCTTTTCAATGTTTCCAATCGCTTCTCTGAATACCTCTTGGAGTGCCCCAGTGCGGAAGTGAGGGGCGCGTTTGCAAAGCTGATCGTTTTCATCGCACACTTCTCCTTGCAAGATGGCCCGTGCCCTTCGCCTTTTGCGTCTCCCGGACCTTCTAGTCAGGTAATTGCTCGGGGTTTTGGGTTACAAATAAATTCTGTTTCCTGGGAGTTGAAGTCACATATATGTGCCCCTCTCACATATTTACCTAATGTACACGTGTGCACACACCACACAACATGATGTCTGTGGGTTCCATTTAAAGGAGTTCACAGCAATGAATAGTGATTATTGGCTCTTGAAAATTTCCCGTTTTCTCTGTTGAATCATTTGCATGCGGTGACTTAATTATACACTTACCGTTAAATAGACTTTTTAAAAAATAGAATAGTATGAAGGCTCAATTATGAAATCTACCTTGGCTCTTCATTCCCTTTTCTAACAAGCAACCCTTTCTAATCACTTTGTCATCAGTCCTTCCAGAAACTTGCCTGTATTCAACATACACATGTGTGTGTCCCTTTTTCACGTGAATTGAAGTGTGTCATGCCTGCACCTGTTTCTGAAGAGCTGCTGATGTGTTCTCCTCCGCAGGCTTATGACAACCTGAGCCTCAGCGATCACCTGCTGAGAGCGGTGCTGAACCTCCTGAGGAGGGAGGTCTCGGAGCACGGGCGCCATCTGCAGCAGTATTTCAACCTGTTCGTGATGTATGCCAATTTAGGTAAGAACTGGGTTTCCCTAATGTCAGTGAGTGTATTCAGTGGTGGAGTCATTGAAGTCGAGTGGTAAGACATAACCTGGCCTGAAATACAGTGTTCCGTAGACGCTGGTATGAATTTAATGTGAAACTCCTTTCACTGCCCTTTTCACCTTGTGCTGTAGCTCTGCACAGGTCAGAGTCTCTGTCTCAATCAGATTGTTCTCCCGAAGCGGTGGTGCCAGATCTGTCTGGTTTTTTAAATGCTGATTCCTAGTCTCACCCCATCCCAACCAACTGAATCAGAACTCTCAAGGCCAGCCCAAGGCACCCCCATTTTTAAAAGGTCCCCAGGTTGTATGTTCTCACCAAGTTGGGTGAAGGACTGACTTTTACATAAGTTTTTGTTGAAGTAAAGTCACTTACAGTTAAGAATAATATGAATATTCACTTAAATGACCTTGTTGTTAATGCTATTACTTCTGTGTAACAACACTCGTAGTAACCTGCTCCTCCTTCACCTGGTCATTTCCTTCCCGTGATCCTGTAATTATTGCCCGGCAGAACGCCTTACTGGGGGCGGGCTGGGGGGAGTCAAGGGGGAAAGGGGGGCGGTATATGTAATACTTTCATCAGTAAAGAATTATTTTAAAGAAAGACAGACATTAAAAAGAAAGTATGCTGTTCTATCTTGCACTTACTGTTTTGACAGTGTTCAGTCTTTGGTGTTTGTTGAATGAAATAGATGGGTACTTGGTGTGATTGGTATGTTATGGTCACTGTTGAACCATCTTATACTTTTTAGATTCAATACAACTCAGTAGATTTTCTGTGCTGGTTAAATAATTCTCTAATCACAAAAGTTATAGAAAAATACTTCAGATGCCTACTTTATTATTGAAACCTGTACCGTCTCAATTAATTCCTCTCATATAATTCTTCTCTGTCTCCCTCTTCCTTGTAGGTGTGGCCGAGAAGACACAGCTTCTGAAACTGAGTGTGCCTGCCACCTTTATGCTTGTGTCTCTGGACGAAGGCCCAGGGCCTCCCATCAAATACCAGTATGCTGAGCTGGGCAAGCTGTACTCAGTAGTGTCACAGTTGATCCGCTGTTGCAATGTCTCGTCCAGAATGCAGTCCTCAATCAATGGTAAGTCAAATGCTCTGGTCCTCACAGTGGGCTCGAAATTCTGCTGGGCATGCGCAGTACCCAGTTAAAGTAATTCTGCCCTAACTGGTTCGGCTCAGAGAATAGAGCATCGGCCCGAAGAATGAAGGGTCCTGGGTTCAATTTTGATCCAGGGCATGGCTTCACTCCCAGCCCTGATTGGGGGGCGTACAGGAGACAGCCAAAGGATGACTCATCATTGATTCTATGTCCCTCTCTCTTTCCCTTTCCGAAATCAATAAAAATGTTTCTTTAAAAAAGAATCCTCCTATTAAAAAATTAAATAAATAAATATGAAACGAGACCGAAGGTTTATGCTGTTTTTTCTAAAATAGAAGTTTAAAAGCCCATAAGCTGTTTTGTATGCTGGCAGCTCTGTACTGTTGTGAAGGATCTATTGGTTTTTCATTGATGGCACATCTGTATTCTAGGTAATCCTCCTCTTCCCAACCCTTTTGGTGATCCCAATTTATCACAGCCTATAATGCCAATTCAGCAGAATGTGGCAGACATTTTATTTGTGAGGACAAGCTATGTGAAGAAAATCATTGAGGATTGCAGTAACTCGGAGGAAACCGTCAAACTGCTTCGTTTTTGCTGCTGGGAGAATCCTCAGTTCTCATCTACTGTCCTCAGTGAACTTCTGTGGCAGGTTAAAGAAAAATCAACATTCCTATATTGATCATTTGGTTGGTTGTCCCTCCGATAAGGTACTCACTGTGTCTGGCCTGCTTTCAGGTTGCGTACTCCTACACTTACGAGCTGCGGCCCTATTTGGACCTGCTTCTGCAGATCTTGCTGATTGAGGACTCCTGGCAGACACACAGGTAGGCACCTTGTGTCTTAAATTTTTCTCATCGCTTTATTTGATTTTTTACTCCCTCCTCTTATTGCCCAAATTGCATGCTTAACATAGTAACATTTTTCTTTTCTAAATTAAGGAAAACTAAAATAGGCTTTTGGTAAATATTTTCATTTTATTAATGCCCCAGGGCCTAGGCGTTTTTTAGAATTAGATTACATTTTTGAGTTGGTCACATGAGATAACATTTGCTTGTGTAAAAATAGTTGTGCCTTGGCAGGGTAGCTTGGTGGTTGGAGCATTATCCTGTACACCAAAAGGTTGCGGGTTCGATCCCCAGCTGGGCTGTATATGGGAGCCAACCAATTGCTGTTTCTCTTTCTCCTCCTCTCGTCCACTGTCTCTAAAACGTCAACGGGAAAATATCCTCCCGTGAGGATTAACAAAAAAATTAAGTAAAATTCACCATAATGGCTTTTAGTACATTCACATGTTGCGCAACCATTACCACTGTCTAATTCCAGAATATTTACATCACCCTTAAAGGAAACCCCATACCACACATCCTCTGGAAACCACCAACCTACTGCCTCGCTGGACTTTCCTATTCAGAGAATGTTCAGGGTTTGCCAGGACACTTCAAATAAGTGGCGTCACAATTGTCCTTCTGTGACCACTTACCTCCTTAGCGTGATGTTTGCAGGTTCATCTGTGTTAGAGCACACATCAGTGCTTTGTTGCTTTGCTGAACAGTAATCCACTGTGGATATACCACGTTTTGTCTACTGGCGCGTGGGGTTTGAACACAAAAGAAACGAGGCACATTCTTGCCCCACAATCGTTTTTTTAAAGTTTGTTTATTTTTACATATTTTTATTGATTTCTGAGAGGGAGAGAGATAGAAACATGAATGATGGGAGAGAATCATTGATTGGCTGCCTTCTGCACACTCCCTTCTGGGGATTAAGCTGCAAGACGTGCATGTGCCCTTGACTGCAATCGAACCCGGGACCCTTCAGTGTGCAGGCCAACGCTCTACCCACTGAGCCAAACCACCTAAGGCCACACCCGTTTTTTAAATTGCTCATGGAGGGCCAGAACAATAAATCATTAACTGCACGTTGTTCTGTTGTAGTTTGGCAGGCGTTGAAATGAAATCATCCTTGGCCAGTCAGCCCAGTTGTATTGCTGGGGGAAATTGTTTTGCCTGCCACATATTCTCATTATTAGAATTCAAGTTAATTCTGGATTTCCAGAGTATGTCACTGTGTCCGAGTCCCCAGATTGTAACCTACCTTTGGAAATGCAGTTTTAGAAAAGGAACTGATGAAGCAAGTTCTTAAGTACTTAGTTGTTATAAACTTTAATTTTAAAAGTTTGTATTACTCTGTCACTTCTGGTCGTGTATTTTCATTCCATACCTAGCAAAATCATTTTGGAATTGTTAATAAATTGGTAAGAGCCTCACTGCTAGGCAGCTATATGGCCTTGAGCAGGCTATTTAACCTCTGCCCCTTTTCTCATCTATCCAAGGGATTGGTATACCTACTGTCTAGCACTAGAGTACATGACTGCGTCAAAGATGCTGAGTGGCACGTAGTAGGCACTCAATAAATGTTAGCTGCTATCTGATTTTAGACGTTTTATTTTCTATCTGGTTCTCTTTCAGAATTCATAATGCACTTAAAGGAATCCCAGATGACCGAGATGGGCTGTTTGACACAATCCAGCGCTCTAAGAACCACTATCAGAAGAGGGCCTACCAGTGCATAAAGTGCATGGTGGCTCTCTTCGGCAATTGTCCTGTTGCTTACCAGATTTTGCAGGTGAGGATTTTCTCTCACAGCTTTGTAGGACTCTGAGTCAGAATGAAGGAGTCTGTTTTAAAAGATCAGAATCATGAGAATTTGGAGTCGTCGTTTTTAAGTTCACTTTGAAAAGGACCCCAAAACCTTTGGCATAAATCGTTTTCTTTTGAAGGGCAATGGCGATCTGAAAAGGAAGTGGACCTGGGCAGTGGAGTGGCTCGGAGATGAGCTCGAAAGACGACCGTACACTGGCAACCCTCAGTACACGTATAACAACTGGTCCCCTCCGGTGCAAAGCAATGAGACCTCAAATGGTTATTTCTTGGAGAGATCGCATAGTGCTAGGATGACCCTTGCAAAAGCTTGTGAACTCTGTCCAGAGGAGGTAAACAAAGCCACCAGTGTGCAGCAGATAGGAATGGAAGAAACCAAAGTAATTCTTTACTTCATAGGCTAGTGTTTATGTGTTAATAATGTGGAAATATGATGTTGGGGTCTTGGCTTCCGTGCTTACTACGTGTGGTCTTAAGTAATTGAGAGCGTGCCTTCTTGAGAAATTTCTATAAAATTGCCTGAAATGTAGTAATTCTAAGAGAATCCAAATCAGGAATTTTTTTTAATTGTTTTAATTTGTTTATCTGCAGTAAAAGAAAAATTGTTAGTGGGTCAGTTTTATCAATATTTTAATTTTTTATTTTAAACTAGAAGCCCGGTGCATGAAAATTCATGCACTGGAGGGGGTCCCTCAGCGTGGCCTCTCCCCTCTCACAGTCCAGGAGCCCTCAGGGTGGGAGGCAACCTGGTAATGGGGGGGGGGTAGGTGACACCCCATCACACCTCCGTTGCTGCCACTGCTGGCAGCACAAGCCTTTGCCAGCCTGGTTACGTGAGCCTTGGGCGGGCCTGGGCAGGTGGCAGCCGCCATCCAAGGCTTGCTGCACCTCAGGCTGGCACTGGGCGGCGAGGGGACTGGGGGGACTGGGGGACTCCGGAGGCAGGCGCGTGGGGAGGGCCCGGGCATGCCACGCTCCTGCCACCCCAGGTGGGGCTGAGGGGACTGGGCGCTGCCATCTTGTGGCTGTGGACACTGCCATCTTTGAGGGTGTGGCAGTCTATCGGCTGTGGGCTCCATGATCTTTGGCGGGGGTGTAACAGCAATAAGCATATTCCCTCTTTATTAGATAGGATAGAAAAAAGGTTAAAATAAACGTGAGTTTGCCTGTGTGATTCTTTGTCTTTAAATCTCTCACACTAGGAGCCAGATGACCAAGACGCGCCAGATGAGCATGAGTCGCCTCCCCCTGAAGATGCCCCGCTATACCCCCACTCCCCGGGATCTCAGTATCAACAGGTACATGGGCGCCAGTGGCGGTTTTTATCCCTAGGAATTAAGTTTTATGCATATTTAAAGGATGGCTTCTTTTTTGTTGTAAAGCAAGTAGAAGAGGGATTATCTAGACGAGCTTTGGGGGCGTGATCAGATGGGGCCTGGTTGGAGGATGGTGAGATGGGGACTCTTTCTGGTCAGCTAGTGCCCCCCTTACTAGGAGGGAAACCTGGCAAATGGCGATAATTTGTGTCAACATAAACAGGGTACTGTACAAAGGATTATGACAACATCATCTGTTAGGCTTAGTCTGCAAATGGATTGTGAGGACGTTAAGATGTAGTAATGTAAGGATTTCTTGGTTATTTAGCCTAACAAGACTGTGAAAGTGGTTGGGAGGAAATCAAGGATTTATCAGCTCCATCAATTTCCTGTAAAATCAATAACTAAATAAAGTTAGGATGAAGAAACTTTCAAAGTGAGAGTTCTTCCTAAAACCCAGTGTGATCAGTTCAGGCCTTTGGAGGCAGCTAAGCCCCTGGTGGTCCCCGCTGCCCAGAGCTGCCCATTCGGCTTTTAGCGAGTTCCCAAGAGCCAGCCTGTCCGATCCCGCTGGAGGCGTTCTTCCCCACGTGGGGGGGGGGAGGGAGAGCACGTTATATGGTTAGAAATTGCGTGTTAGGCTTTCCATAATACTAACTAGAGAAAGCTGTCAGAAAAGCCGCGCAGCCTGGCTGGCGGGAATGGGCAGAAAAGGCGCGGGTTCGGTGGAGCATGTGGGCGCCTGGAGGCAGCAGAATAGGTCGCTCTGCCTCCCAGGTGATTCCCCGTGACCGGGAGCGGTGGTGAGCTGGGTGCCTTGGCTGTCAGCCGGGGCTGTGACACTGAAGATCACTTAGGCAACGGCCTGCGCTGCCTGGGGCTTTGGGTTTGCATTTCGGCTTTTCTCTTCCGGTCACTATTTCCTCCCCAGTGGAGGCCACGCCTTTCTCTTCTCTGGGAAGTCCCAGGGATCCCGGAAGTGTTGACATGTCCACCAACTTCAGCCTGTGCTTACGAGGTTTCAGGTTCACACGTGGCCACGTTCACACGCCTGTGTCCTCTCTCCTCGCAGAACAACCACGTGCACGGACAGCCGTACACCGGCCCCGCGGCGCATCACATGAACAACCCGCAGCGAGCTGGCCAGCGAGCACAAGAAAACTACGAGGGCAGCGAAGACGTGTCCCCGCCGCAGACGAAGGATCAGTGAAACGCACACGCCTAACTGGTTCCATCAAGACTGTGCACCCAGGCCTTACAGTCCAACCTTTTTCTGTGTCTGGCTAATATTTAAAACTAAAAAAAAAATACAAAAAAACAAAAAAAAACAACAACAAAAAAAACTATTCCTAATCAACATGGAGTGGAAAGTTTATTCACTGTCTTATCTGCAGAAACTTGCTGTCCATATATAACCCGCCTGCAGTGGAAAGTGTATAGTGTTTTGTAATAAATGGCCTGATGCTAATGTGTAAATGGCAAAGGTGTATATAGTATATTAATGTTTGACTGTTAATTCTTGAGCAAGAACCTTTTTTCTTGATGAGACTCGCAAATCTGCAAAAGCGACAGAGTTCATTTTCCCGTTCTCCCCGTGCGCTCGGCGGCCAGCGCTGTGCCCGGCAGCCGGCCAGCCCCTTCACCAAAACACCATAACCGACAGCAGCCAGCAGCCCGTCCGTGTCCCCGCACCCGTAGGTCCCGTTCCTTCTCCGCCACCGGAGTCGGGCTCGTTCTGGGAGCGGGGGGCTGCCGGCCTGGAGATGACTCGGTTGATGTGGCACGTTGGTGAGGTAGCCTTGTTTGTAGCTCTTTTTCGTTGCCTTTTCACTCAGATCTTAGTTCATCCTTTTGAAGCTGTAGTCCCGCTGTGACATTTAGCATGGCTTCCCACGGGTTAGTGTAGCCAGTGAGGACAAATCACCAGGACGGTGCTGTCCCAGGCGACAGCCGTCCCAGATGCTCAGCTTTTCCTTCTCCGCCTAGAACATGACCCTGCAAACAAGGGAGAACCGGGCCACCAGGCGGTTTTTGGTTAGTTTCACACGTTGCTTACACCTGATGGACAGTTCTATCTTTGGGTGGGATAGAGAGACAAGTGTCAGTGATGGGAATTTTAAAACATTTAAGACAAATATGCAAAACTTCGCTATGTCAGGATGCTCGGAGCCTAATAGAAGACTGTATTTGGTGTGCTTGTTTTGTTTCTTTGGTAGAGCTTATTAGGTGTGTCTTCTCGAACTTTCCTTCTGGATCGCAGTGAAGCGGAAGTCCCCAGCCCCACAGAGCTTGGTGCCACTGCACCGAGGCATCCGGTTGAGTTTGCTCAGCCAGTTTTACTTGAAAGCAAGAATCGTCCTGGTCCCTTTTCCCTGACCCCAGGTTTCACGTTTGAAGCAGGGTCTGATGAATGAGGACTACTGGTTAGTTGCCGTCAATGAGGTCTGGTGATTTCCGAATAAACACTGACTGAAAGATCAGAAACGCATCGGTTGATACTGTATTGGAAAGAGCTGGTAACTTGAACCTGTAAGTTTTTGGAACCTGTCTAGAAACCAAACACCCCTGCACACAGATGCAGTCCCCCCGACTCAATATATTGAAATGTTCTGCTGTTTTGTTTTGTAGAAATGATTTTGCTCAGTTCACAAATAGAGTTTGATTTCAAAGAGTTTTTTGTCTTGGTGTGGTGGTGTTTTTGTCCTTTTCTCCTGAAGGACTGCACATTGAAGTGCGCTCTGCCGGTGCGGTCCCCTGGAGTCCTGTGCACGGGGAGGGCTGGCCTCGCTCCTTCGCTGAGGGTTTAGGGAAACGGGACCTGCCCCGGGACAGCTTCCCAACAATCAATCTTGTACTTTTTGTATGTTTTTATATACATGTGTACTTAACGAGCACAAGCTTGGTTGTACTTTTTAAAGTTCAGTTAACAGGAAACTTGTCAAAAGGCTGTGGTTGGAAGGGAGCGAAGCAGAGAGCATTGTGGTCAGAGGGGAGTGTTCCAGAAGGAGCTTTGGTAGCTTGCATTTCTCTGCAGTCCATCTGCGCTTCCAGGGTTTCTGTGACACTAGGGAATTTTGACACCAGATAGATCCCGTTTTCTACCTTAAATATATTACATCTGAACGTTCCGTTTGATGGGAGCTGTTTACTACTCCATTTGGTAATTTCTCCTTTAAAAGCTCCTCACTTCCAAGCTTCCTTAGCAATAGGTCCACCTGATTCGGACAAGTGGCCTCATGACACACCATCTCGCCATCCAGGGGCAACTGGCGTTCCCTGCTTCTAACAGATGCACTTCCTTTAGCGACTTGAATGGCTTGGCGTTCTAGAAGGCTGTGGATTTTCTCCTGGAGGGTGCTCCAACCGTGGTTGCTTTCCGTGTTCAGGCCCCTGTGCCAGGTGAGGCTGGACTCCGTCTTGTCTTCCCTCCATTTGAGGATGAGTGGTCTGTGTTGTGACCAGGGTCAAGGGTAAATGAACAGAGTTATTTTTGTTTGTTTGTTTGTTTGTGCAGATTATTTTCTATATTTAACTCTTAAACAAGCATTAATGTATAACCGGAAATTTTAAGATGCATGTTATTGTAAGAGCAACGTAGTGGTGATTTTGAGATCTTTTTCTGAACATAAATGGCACATTTTAAACTTCAAGTCTTCGAAGTGCCTAAAGATTATTTATTCCTCAACTGATTTCTTGAGCCATATATATATTTCCTACTTTCAATGTTTGTTGCGGAATCGCTAGTCTTCCTTTCGAAGAAGTATCCCCAGAATTCTAAATGGCATGATTCCTTTCTAGAAGACGGTAGAAGCTGTTGACATAAAGACTGAAGATACTTTCACTTCCTCTGTGGACAAGGGCGTTGCCCTGTCGACCGAAGTGTTTTAGTGGACAACCATATTGCTGCTGTTTCTAACCCTCCACCAAGAAATTTCCATGTTCAGCATCCTAGAGGCAGAAATAACACAATCCTATTTGGGGTTTTGTCTTTCGTTGATTTTTCTCAGTAATAATTTCCCAACCTGGTGTCTTTTAGCTCTTATGTATACAAATTTAGAATTATTAAAATGTTTTATATTTTTTCATGGTTAACTTTTATTAGCGAATAACAACTACTTAAGTATTTAATCCTTGTAGTGGTTCAAAAGATGAGGGTCCTTTTTTTATTTGCATTACCTTTCTAAACGAAAGCAGCAGTCTGAATATTTCAGATAACTCCAAAAAGAGTTCCTTTCAAGTGTTTTTGAGTATTTTTCCAGCTTATGTTCTCCCAAGAACTCTGCTGAATTTTGTGGTTCATTTGGTGGATATCCTGCCTTATTTAGAATTGTAACTGGATAAGAAAATTGCCTTTTCATTCATTATAAGTGCCCGATTTTGGTCTCTAGTTTGAAGGTACCTACATACTGCCTAGTGAATAGAACACGCCCTCCCCCCCCCCCCCCCCCCGTTTTGTGTTACCAGGGAAACCATTCAGTACTGGTTTCATAGTAAGGCTCAACCGGAATTGGTCCCGCACCGATGGGAGTGTTCAGTGTTCGGAAAGTTTTGGGTGTGATTCGCTGCAGAAATGCTCGATGTATTTACCTTGCTGCCGATTGTATTTCTGACGATTGGTTTGTTTGCAAAATGTAGCACTTCTCCTCCAAACTTAGAGGTGTGAGAAAAAAGGGGGAAAGATACATCATGTTTTAAACTTGGAAATCAGTGAAATGTTTTTATTTTGAAACCCAGATTCCCAAAAGGAAATTTCACCACCAGATCACACACTTCTCAGCCTTTTTCAAGCCGAGACTGACTGAAGATTGTCCACAGGTCTAAGATTTAGCACATATACAAAAATAAAACTTTATAAATTAAACGTCGGCTTTCCCTTTGATTTATTGAAATAATTCTAAATGGAAGGTAAATTAGAGGTGTGATCGATTTGAACAGGATTTATAAAGAGAAGTGTTGGTAATTTTGCCCTCACTGTATATTCAAAGCATACTCACATCTAAGTTCAAAAATGGAGTTATGTAATTGCTGACAACTGTTCCTTCTAAAATCAAGATTCAGCAAACACTTTGGTGTTTAAAAGTTCCTCTAAATAAATAATGAGCAACGAAGCAGGGCACATGTTTTCATGGGAGTTAAGTGAAAGTTGTGCTGCCCGTGTGGCTCAGTGGTAGGTGTTGACCTATGAACCAGGAGGTCAAGGTTCAATTTCCCATCAGGGCACGTGCAGGGGTTGCAGGCTCCATCTCCAGTGTGGGGCGTGCAGTAGGCAGCCCTTTGATGATACTCATCATTGATCTATCTCCCTCTATGAAATCAATAAAAACATTCTTAAAGGGAAATTCCTCCATCAAACATTTCAGACTCAGGTGAAAATGAGTGGATCATTTTAAAGACATTCCACTTACATATGCAAAACTAAAAAGGGGATGGTTTGAGGATCTTGTGTTCCACCAACATTAGAATATACCGCATTTCATCACGTCACAGATCTCAGATGCACCTGGCCAAATCAGCTGGCTTTCAGGGATATTAAAACGGGGGGGGGGGGGGGTTTCTGACCCGTGTTGCTCAGTGGATAGTGTTGGCCTGAGGACTGAAGGGTATCCCAGATTCAATTTCAGTCAAAGGCATGTACCTTGCTTGTGGGCACTCCCTAAGAGGGAGTGCAGGAGGCAGCTGATTGATGTTTCTCATAGGTGTTTCTAACTCCCTCTTTCTCTGAAAAATCAAAATTATTTTAAAAAATGAAAACGGGGGGGGGGTGGTCCCATTTGGTAACTCCATGTCAAGCATATGCTTGTGAATGTAGCTTGAAATAGCAAGTGTCCGTTGTGGACCCTCCTATTGCTTCCTTTGCCCGTTAAGCTGGTGGCTACAGAAACCCTATTTGCGGGATTAACAAAGCGGCCCATTGACAAGAGCTGTTAACAGAGCGCCCTACGTACACGGTCCTGAGCCCAGGGTTCTTTTCAGCGGCGGCGGCGGCGAAGTAACAATATTCCAAAACAGAACCCATGGGCCAGGAGGTCAGGGTTCGATGCCCAGTCAGGGTTCGATGCCCGATCAGGGCACTGGCTGGGGTTGTGGGCTCCATCCCCAGTGTGGGGCGTGCAGGAGGCAGCCGATCCATGGTTATCATGGATGTTTCTCTCCCTCTCCCTCTCTCTCTCTGATACCTATAAAAACATCATAAAAACACAAAACAGCCGG